TATTTCTTCAATATTTCAGCCATCCTACCTCATTATTTACTTCAGCAGGTTTTTTCTTTGTTTCTCCAATGTCCAAATAGCTGTGGAAAGAAAACAGGTTTGGTTATTTACATCTAACTTACACAATACCTAATATTCTAATTTTTTTTCACACATTAAGGTTTTAAAATTTGTTATGCTTCAAAATAACAGAAAAAGTAAGTAACTACTAAGATTAACTAACACTTAATGTAAATCTTCAGGCTAGCACTCTGAGTTAATATAAAAGACAGGGGAGAACCAACCACCTACCTTGAAGTCACTGGTGATTAGAATAGACCATCAATAACCCCCTTGTCAGAAAGAAGCTCATATACAGCTGTGGACCAATAATTCACAGCATAGTATCACCTTACTAGAATTTTCAGTCATAATCTTGCCTCTTGGTTTCTCACAGTAAGTCTCTGATGGATTGAAGGTTTGCCTGCACACCCAAGTTTAACTCAGGGCATCAGCTAAAGTTTAAAAGGATTGACACCATTCAGGTTTCAATAGAATGTGGACACATCTGAACATTTCACTTCTCGTGGCTGGATGAACCAGTAATAGCTTCATAACTATTTTATGGATAAAATACATGCCTCAACTGGACAAACAAACAAAATACATTTACTTGGACAATATTTTGTTATCCTTTTGATGTTCCCTGATCTCACTTCCAGTGGGAAGGTGATTTACCAGGAGTTTCAGACTAGAAGACCTTATTTGAGAAGTCAGGTATACCTAAAGCCAAGCACCAGTGCAAGCTCACCAAAAGACCTCAGATCTCACAACATCTGCAGCCCTTCAGTAATATAATGCTCTGTAGTTAACGACTAGGATTAGATTCATTTGCCAGAAGAAACTTTCTTACTTGGCCAAAGTTAAGAATTCATGAGACTTCAATGAAGGTGCAAAAGCAGGAAAGAGGGAAAAAAAGGAAAGAAAAAACATCATCTTTTCTTTGAAGGAATGGCAATTGTTTATCAAGGGACCACAGAATAGAATAGTCACAGGGATTTCAAGGCTTCGTTGTGAGAAGACAGCAAGACACAGCAAAGCTACCAGGCCATGCTTGAAAGTGCACGCCAATGCTTTGAAAAAGCTAAGTGTAGCAACACAGCATAATATTTTTAAAAGCCTCATGTTTAGAAATAAATAATATCAACTGTTCCAAGCTCTTGGTATAAAAAGGAACCAATTCTCTTTAGACCAAAACCAAGAAGTCTTACAACCTACAAGACTGAAAAGAAATAAGTGCCACAGGCAAAATGGTTCCAACAGCCTGTAACAATATCTGCTGACTGTGTTTTCAAAGCACCTGTGAATTATTTCACCAAGAACTAAGAAAAGTGACAAAGAAAAGCAAATATATAGTCAAAGGTTTAAATTCACTGTGCAGAAGTCTGGGCATTAATTCATCAAATTTCAAGAACCTGCAAATCTGAAAAGTTCTAAATAAGAGCAAAGGCTTTTTTTTTTTTATTTTTATTTTTTTTTTTTAGATGATGACACTCAAATAAAAACTTAGACCAAAAATTTTACAAATTTTTTCTCACTTACTAAGAAAGCAGAAATGCTTCCAACCCATGGCTAGCCAAGCCAGCAATGAAACTAAAGCATTGTTTAGAAAGAATCAGCTGGAAAGAGGACAATCTACCACTGATGAATGAGCACAGATACAAGTAAATGGGCAAAGGGAGGAGGATGGAGGAGTAGCATGTTGAAAAAAAGCTAAAAATCGAAACCAGCTCCAGCATAGGCAGTCTTCTTTCAGGAAGCTGAGAGCTGGAGAAGAACTCCACAGGGATGCAGCCTACATGTGCATTCTCACTCACCACTGCAACTCCAATATACCAACACACGTTACCACATATACAATGAAAATGGGTGTGTTAATTTAGGACACCTTTAAATGACAAAACAATCTGGAAAACTTGTTATATGTTACATTAAAAATTACCAACATTGACTAAAAATTCCTCCATTGAAGAAAAATCCTACTTTTTTTTCCAAAATCAGAATTTCTAAATACTGATATTTTTATTTAATTTAAAAAAATTATTCAACAGTTTATCTGGAATACATGCCATCAGAACTATCAGCCTCAAAATGTTAAGAGTCAGGGTTTGGCTCATGTGCTAAAGGTGAGCACAGTTTATTCTTGAATTCCCTGTGAGCGGGAAAGAAAGAGATTCACTTTTCAGTGTAAGGCATCTGAGAAGAAACAAATGCACTGCTTGAAGCTGAACAATGTCACTTTCAACTTCTGCTACTCCTTGAATACTTTCCCCATTACACTCCCACAGCTCCCACATATCAGTGCCACGAGCCTCCATTTCAAAGTTCAGCCTTGCATAGTCTATCATAGCAATTAATATGTCCAATAAGAATCACTGGGGGAAAATAACAAGAAATTTTTTAAATTTTTTTTTAATATCAAACTCTTTGCTGCCATCAGACCAGATTCAGATCCCTTAAGGCAGATGCTTTGGTCTGTCACACTGTAACTGTTTACCTGTGACACATTACACAAACATACACATTTTTCTTTAATTCCTTCACTTCCTTCCAGAAAGCTGTTCCTTCCAATTAACCCTTCCTCTCCTCTGACTTTTCTGTACAAAATGTCTCCCTAGTTACCATTCTGTCTACAAACCAATTAAGAACAACTTCAACATTAAACTCTTCAGCTTCTTCTTAATGCTCATAAAAGCACTGTCAACATTTCCAGGACTATGTAAACAAATACTAACAAGTGAACAACTCCAATTCTGAATACAGAAATGGAAGGGATCTCAAGTCATCCCATTTATCCTCTCTACAGCACAGACCTAGGACATATTATCAAGGGATATATAAAACAGCATGGTTTTACCTAGTCACTTAGGTCAGCTTTGCTTTCAGTATTATCTTTGTTGGCCTCAAATTATTAAGTACCTTGTTGAATGTTGCAACCATAGAAGTCTGAAAAAGTCTCACCATAAAATTCTGACCATATAGCGTAACCAAAAGAAATATTTTTCTCCACGCAGTATAAATCCAGAGTGCCCAATTCTCTAAACAGTTCATGCTAATGCCAAACAATTACTTACTTGCTTGTAGGCTATCAAGACAAAACACATTTAGAGAGGTGTAACAAGATGTGCTGATAACTTAACAATTTTAAGCCATCCATAGAATCATAGGATTTAATATGAAAAAGAAATGGTAGATCTCTCTTAGAGTTGAGCACCGCATTTGATACAGAAAAGAGTAAGTACTCCTGGAAAAGGGCTTATATTTAGCCTCTCATACATCTTTCTCTCTGGCTTTCCTACTGAAGTGCAAGAAGCTTCAATAAATCTTTAGAAGCAGCTAGTGACAGAAATGGTAAGGGTGATGATAGAGATCCTGTTCATTACACAGAAAGTTTCATCCTGAAACATAATGTGCCACTAATGAGCTCTCCTGAAAAATATAATGTCCTCAACTCTATAGAACCAAGAAGAGGAAGACACTGTAAAGGTGGTAGTTGATGATATGAATTCTCAAACATCTCTGGAAAGGGGATGTTAATTTTAAGATTAATTTCCATAAATGCAACTGTAGGAAAAATGCCCATAAAGACAAAGCAAAAGACAGCATGGTCAATTGAGACCATGACATTCACTGACAGAATTAAGAATAGTTACTGATGATATTCAGAGCCACTCTGGAAACATACCTAAAAGCCCTGACCTCCTTCACATTATTCTCCCAGTGACTCACTAGAAAACAGACAAACTGGCAGCTTAATTCTTGGTGTCCAGATAGGAAAAAGAATGTAAATGGTCATCTTTTAAATAACAGGAGAAACATTTAAAGGCTATATAAGTGCCCAAAATGAACAGAAGTGATGGAGACACAGACAGCTGGGTAGAATACTTTAGAATTTTAAAAAATAAACAAGAAAGGAAGCATTGGGTATTGAATTCCCAAGCTCATCAATTTCCTGGCAGGACTGTCAATGCTCCACCTTTTACTGCTTTCACTGTGTTACCCCCGAGCACAAACACGGATACTGGCCCTTCAGCTGAGCACAGACATTACAACAAAATGCCATTTCCTCATGTCCTTCGGGTTAAGGGGCTGTTTCTCCTTTCCTACTATGTCAAGGAGTTGTCATTGTGTGACTCATGGTAAGAATACCCTTTCTGGGGGTCACTTCTAAGGATCTTTTCTTTTTGCCCTGGGTCACAGCTTCTAAGTTCTCTTTCTGCAATGACTAATAAAAGCGACAGGATGAGGAGTCGTCTGAAGCACTGCCACAGTGCCAAACCCCAAAGGCTGATATTAATTTCTGTATAAATCTTACGTTTCAGCCACTCACTTGAGCTTCTTGAAGGCCTCCCTGCCACCAGCCACGTACTGCTCCCCACTCTGGAGCTCGTCCAGCTGTCGGACACGATGCCCACCCCGGGGGGTATAGATGTTTCGCACCGCTCCAAAGTGCGCCTGCACCCCGCCCGTCACCTCTTTCAGGAACACATCAAAGTTGGACACTTTCTTCTCGTGGATGACAATGCGGCGCCCCGGGAAGAAAGGGTCCCCGTTGCGATACACCAGCACGCTCTTCACGCTGGGCTGCGAGAGCCACGACGCCTTTGTGCCAGGACTGGCCATGCTGGTGGCTCCGTGCGACGCGCGCAGCCCGCACCTGTTTGCTCGGGAGCGGCTCCTGCCCGGGAACCCCTCTGGCCCTGACACCGCCCACGCCGGGCACATGGGCACACCTCCCGGAGAGCGATCGCGGCCCGCCGGGGCCTGGGCTCGGCCCTGCGTAGGCTGTACACAGCGGCTCCTCCCAGGCAACCGGCGCGGTGCTCCGGGCGCCGGGGGAGCTGGGTGCGGAGAACGCCGACCCAGGCGGAAAAACGCGGCGTGACACTCGGGCCGGCACGGCCGGGACATGGACTGCCGGGGACCCGCAGCCTCGGGTGCCTTCACCCTCCGGCTCTGCCATGACGGGAATCCCTGCCAGCCTTCTTTCCTTGGGAAACTTTACCCCGCGTGTGCTCGGCCTGCCCACCGGGCAGCCAGGCGGGAGTCTGCCAGGAGCCTGCCCGGCCCGGAGCTACCGCGGGAAGGAGGGAGAGGGGCGACACTCCCAGAGGCGGGCCGCGGGGGCAGAGGGAACGGGATCCGAACGAGGGAGACAGGAAAATCCCCGCTGTTACTTCTCGTGCCCGGCCGCCGCCTGTTCCCACAAGGAACGGGCCGGCGGCGGAGCTGCCCTGGCGGCGGCAGCGGGGGAGCGCCGAGGCGGCGCAGCGCCCACACCGCACTCTGGCACACCCTGGGGACAAGAAGCCGTAAAACCTGAGAGAAAGTAAAACAGAAGTGCCTTCAACTCAAATGTAATTCCTTTAACAACCTCTTTCCTCCGCCGATAGCCTCAAGTCTAAAAATGCACTAGACCTTCCTACCTGAATTTGTGTAGTGTACGGTAATGATTGTCTTTTCAAATGGGTTTTAACATTTGGGGTGGAAAGAATTTTCTTTCCTTTTATCTTACCTCCTTTGATGCGAAAATTACCCCCCTGCTGTGAGTTACAAAAGAGCAGTTAACCATTACAAAAACAGCAATTTCAGGGTGAGGGCAGTCAAACATGCTACTGTTATTGGTTAACAACTAAAGTTCCCCACTCGTTGCTGGTCTCCTTCTGACTAATAACGGGGAGAACCAAGCATTTACCATCCTCGAATTAATACTGTTTAACATTGAACTACTGTAACCTGTAAGGAAATTTTTATTATTAAAGATACGCTTTTGAGTAAAAACCAAAAATGTTGATGACCCTCACACTGCTCTGCATTCAAGTAATGATATGTCAACTATCTGCTATTTTATACCAGATTCTACCACATTTAGTGATCTTAGGTCTAATTTGTAGTCACACATCTTTGACATAGGAGTAAGACACTGAATATTTTATTGGTGCATCCATTTTGACACTTTTGATACTTCAAAATACTGTTGGTCTTTACCTGTTGCCACACTAGTTGCAATCACTTTATGGATTGCAATAAAATATCCCTTAAATGGCACCAGAGCACTGCTAGCCTTAAAGCAGCCTAAAATTGGTGGACATCAAAAATATTTGTTTTCCATCTCACCTAAGTACAACCGCTGACCAAAAGCCAAGAAAAGGTTGGACACTTCAGTCCATAATAGCAGTGCCTTAAACCATGACAATTTGCTCCTCCTAGCTTTTCCAAGGTCTGACCTTTTATTCTCACTATTGTTTCACCTTGTAAACCATCTCCTATTACATTCTCAACAGCAAGGAGTCAAGCTGCTGGACCCACTGACATGATTAAGATAAATGCAGAGACACATAATCTCTTTATGATGGAGCAACATCAGACCTCTCATCTTACATGAGGTTGGTGCATGACATGAAGTCTGTCAGATCCTGTGTCAGGATCGCCTGAGGTCACACAAGGAGGATAACATATGATAATGCTGGGGGATATGATGAGAGCAGAGCCATGGCATAATGTAGCATCAAACAAGGTCACTTTTTCTGCACCAAAATGCCATGAGGCCTCAGCTATTTCAGAACAAGGAAAGATTTTGCAGCTTGTTGAGGGCCTTGCCAGCTATGCTCACTGATAGGAAAACATGAAGTCATGAAGACAGAAATGTCCTAGTGCTGAAGAAAAGACTAATAAAATTGACAGAATGGAAAAGGATGAAGTTTCTAGACACAGAATAAAATTCAGTTTATTCTATTGCACACAGTGCTGAGAATCACACTTAATAACTCTGTGCAGCTTATCAGAAAATCAGACTAAGCAATAGCAGCTACTTTATTCCCAGCTGTAAGTCTGGAGTAGCCAAACTGTCTGCACTGGCAGTTTAAAACACATAAATACCAAGTGGTTCAGGTCACATGCACACCCTAGAAAAAGTAAAATACCGATGCAGTTGTAAATTTTAAAGCCCATGTTATAGCAAATACATCTCCTTGTTCAATTGCCAGATTGAAAACTCCTTAGAATACCATGATTGAGTATTTTTGCTTTAAAAAATACCTTAGACAATCACAGTTTAAGCCACAACTTTTGACTACACAGATCCTATCCAACAGTATTCTTGAGGCAGCCAAGATGCTGAAGGACTACATAGGGAAAAGGCTTCAGCAAACCCTTAGAGGCACAAAAGGAAATGGTTCTCCATGGAAAAACAAATTCCAGTGGGTTACCTTAAGTAAGGAAAAGGTTGAAAGATACCTTCCATGTGGTCTTGGTATAGAGTAATGAAAGTGAAGTCATCCTTCTTAAGCAAGGAGTTTTCAGAGTGTTGCTGTAGCTACCTTTGATCAAGGGACCTGATAATCCTGATTCATTCATGTGAGAGCAATACTGTAAATATGAGTGGGGTTTTTTGGCAATTTTTCTATGGGGTCTTTTCTGTCTCTCTCTTCTTGTGTATCACTCATCATCCACTCAACACTTACATATTGTCTGGTAGCAACTATAGGGTTTTTTGTTTTGCCTTTTTGTTTGTTGTTTGTTGTTCTGGTTTTTATTTTCTCAATGTGAATAAAATTGTGCATTTCTTTTAGGAGAAGAAACAGGCCATAGGTACAGGCACATAATTGTATATAAAAAAAGATTGATCAAATGGACAAGTTATACACTGAGAATTGTCTGTAGACCAAGATGCCTTTTTACCATAATTTTACGAAAAATTCTCTGAGCTTTTCTTCAGCAGAGATTTATGAGGGCCTCTCTGATGATACCTATGTTTTCCTTCTCTTTCTGCGTGTTTTGCCTTAGTGTCTCCTTGGTGTTTCTTTGCACAAAGTCCAGCTGCAATCAGAGCTGTCCCCCACGTCTGCGCTGTCATTCAGCTGGCAGTGCAACTAGTTGCTCGTGTCATTCAACCTCACAAATAGCTTCTGGTTTGGATGGCAGTTTCATGACTAAGCAAGCCTGTGCTGGAGCTATCCTTTCTTTTTGGCTGAATGAAGAACAGCCATCATGCCTGTCCTTGTCACCTTCAATAAACAGCACATGAGCTTGGCCCACTATTTCTTGATGAAATTCAGCAAATTACTCCTGAAGGTTGGCACTGCAGGACAGATACTTGGCAGTGGAATGAACAAGCAGCTCGTTGGTATTTAGAGCTATAATAAATAAGTAAATAAATAAATAAATGCCAGTTCTAGATCTCCAGTTATCTTTTGCCAGCAGCAGTGTAAAGTCACACATTGTGTGTCTGCTTTATGACTTGTCCCTGGCTGCCAGTGCACACCGATGTGCAGCCTTCACTTCTAAGGAAGTTGGGGATTTTCGTTATTTTCTTTTTCTATTTATTTGACAGTTGGTGACACTTGGTTGTTTTCTGCCCTTCCAGACAGTTGCAGTGGTGGCTGATAATGCAGCTGTAATTAGATGCAATGCCAGTGCTTACTTTGGCCTGTTGGATCAGGCATAGCAGAGTTTGTATCAGTACAGATTCAGTGAGAAGTTACATCATCTTATTTCCTACACTTCTGTTGTCTTAGCAGCCAGAAAAACATATGAGCAAAGGAAAACAAAGAGATCTACCCAGCAGCTTCTTCCTTTTTATTGAAGAGTGTGAAATGTCAGCTGTGTAAGACTTACTGCACATTCATTTAATGTAAATTTCTGGCAGATATCCTTTAGATGCTTCCCTAGTTTTTGCATTCCAACATGCAGAGCCAACATAAGCTGCCATTAATTTCCAGCAATAGTGTGCACTGGTTTCCTGCCTTCCTGAGGTATTTTCTGTGCTGTCTTAAGTATTAAGTATCTCTGACATCCAAGAAATTAAATTAGTGTTGCATATACTGCCACCTGCTGAGATTAACCAAAACCAGAGCTAAAATACTCCTTAGAGTAGATTTCAGCTTTTTCAAGTATGAATAGGGACAACATTTGCAGACAGGTGAGGTTACCCTTTAACTGAAAACATATGATGCCTTCAGTCTACATATACATGCTGCACATAACTACTGAGGAACTTTTTCATTGAATTACTTCCTTGTGAGGTCATTCACCTTTAGGCAAGGTGTGTGTAAACCATCCTTCTGATTCTGTGCATGTCAATCCACTTGGAACAAAGGCTTATCTATGTATGTTAATGTATGTATGTACACACAAACATGCAAATGCATAGGTCATCTGCTGCAGGAAAGAAAAGGAGTTGTTATAAATATTTTCAGAGTATAATTGATTTAATCATATAAAAGAGTTAGTTATGATTACAAGTAGAAAATGGCAAAGTATAAGATATAGCAATGGTAGGAGTGCTGTGTTTAAAATATGCAACCATAGAAACTTCACCAAGAAGTCACTGGATTTCTTATGTTTTGTTCAAGAAACTATGGAGACCATCACATACACCAGCTACGCTGCTCGGAAACCCCCTACCCTTCCCATCTTGATTTGAATGTCAAAGATTCCTTTCAGTAGAGCTCAGCAGAGATGATCAATTATTGTCTTAGAGTAGGAATATTAAAGAAGTTATATAACTAGCAAAACCAATTATTGTAAAGGTTAAATTTAGGAGTGGATGTATTATGCATAGTACATAAAACAACTTATATAATTATGACTTTGCAAAAAAAGTATATAAAATGGATTAATTTTGTTTACTAAGTGGAGGAGTAATTTTACATTTGGAGGAGAAATCCTGTGTATATTCCCAGCACCAAAAAAAAGAGAAGTGTCTGCTTATTCACACCAAATTGGTGTTGGGTAAGTTTCTTTTGTCCTGTTTGGTGGCACCCTTGTTTTCAAAACTCTGACAGGTGTTTAGATTTGTGCCTTCCTCTTGGAACAGCCATGCTGCACGGATCATTTCATTAATCACTTCCTTTTTTACTTCCCTGCTGAGGATTAACGAGTACTCTAAGTACATTCTGATAACATGTTCGGCTGCAGGGTTTGGATGCAGACTTTGCCTCCAGGACGATTTACACACTTCTGCAGGACTAGCCAAAGGGCCCCTACTACCTGTGTTGCACTTTTGTACATGAAAGCTGCAGGTCCAAAAGGATATATAACAGTGGAAGCTGGTGTGCTGCTAATGAAACTTTTACATCTCAACCACTCAGGTCGTCTCTATCTTAGATACAGAAGTAGGGTAAGGAAATTTAATTCCAAGACATTTGCTGGAGACAAAACTGTACTTCACTTGGAAAAAAAAAACCTGTATTTTAGAAGCTTATCCGGCAGTGGCCAAGTACAGCATGCAAAATCCCAGCCACAGTAAGGTGTGCTCACATTATAAGCACTGTTGTGCTGGAGCTGGGATTTTAAGAACACTTATGTCTTTGGGAACACTTATCCATTGAACTGGATTTTCAATTAGGTCCAACCTCATTAGAGGAGCTCAGGTGAGCTTTATGGGGTGCTTGGGGGTTTTGGGTTTTTTTTAGTTTTTTTGTTTGTTTGTTTGTTTTTTGTTGTTGTTGTTTTGGTTTGGTTTTTGGGTTTTTTTTTTCCCTTCTTTCCCATTCTCACAAATCATCATGTACAAAATCCTGTTAATTTCAGTGGGATTGAACACAGCCTGGGTGAGGCGGTGAGAAGGATCATGGCTCTGTGCACATACACAACAATGGCTACGAACTTCCAGGGCGCCACTGAGTTATCTCAGAGCGTTTAGAAACACAGAAGCGGGTCGGCAGGACCCACAACTCCACAGCCACAGCCACAGCCACAGCCACCCCAACGCCCCCAATGGCGGCGGCGCCGCTGTAGCCGCGCTCCCGCCAGGCCGCGCCGGGGCTGCCGTCACCCCGCCGGGCTGCTCCTCCTCCGTCACCCCGTCCCGGGCTCCTCCTCCTCCGTCACCCCGTCCCGGGCTCCTCCCTCGCCGCCGCGGACGCGCCGGGAGCGGTGCCGGGCCGAGGGGCCGAGCGGGGTCGATGCTGCGCGGGGCTGCACTGCTCCCCCGCGCCCTGGGCGGCGGCTGCTGCTGCTGCGCGCGGGCTGCGCTGGGCCGGTGAGCGGCGCGGCCGCGCTGCGTCGTGTCGGGACACCCGGGCGGGGGCAGCTGCGCTGCGAGCGGCCGGGCCGGGCGAGTCGGGCTCGGGTTCGGGTTCGGGTTCGGGTTCGTCGGGGCCTTGTGACCGGCGCTTCCTGACGTCTGTGCCGGGGCCTGAGTGCGGGGCAGCGCACAGCTCAATGCCAAGGGCGGTGTGCTGGAAGTAGAGCTGTGTTCTCTCCCCGCAGGTAGATTTTACCAACATGCCCCCACTGAGACCTCCCAAGCCACCCTAGCCAGCGTGTCTCCTGTTTTTGCAGTGGTAAGTACCTGCAGGCATTTCCGCCAGCGAGGGCAGCCGATGCGAGATGATGGTGCTTTTCCCCTGTTGTTTGTTTGGTTCCCTGTTGATTGTTTTTTAATCCTAAGGCGTCATAAAGCCGGATGGATTTGTGTCTGGGAGAACATCCCTAAGTTCTCAGTTGTTACTTTGAGCTACTCTGATTTGAGGAGCAGTTAGAGTGTATGGTGTTGATGAAAATGCTTTTCTAAGGCCCAGCATCTGCTGGAAGTTCTCTGGCTCTAATTGTGAAGGCAAGTCAACTCTTCTAAGTGCTCCAGTCAGAAGTTTCTTCTTAAGTTTATCAAGGCTTGCTAATACCTTTTAGAAATATTAGTGTCTTGGTAGCTGCAACTCTAAGGAAACAGAATTTGGTGAAAAACAAGCTCTCTCTATGCTGTCTTTTTAAAGGTGACTGAAGGCTGTTTCCAAGCTGCTACATTTGCACATTATGCTTTTCTTTTAAATACATATATGGTGAAAATTCACATTATTAGTGCCAGTGAAGGAAGATGTGGTCTCCTTGTTGATAACAAAAAGAAGTAATTCTGCTTTTCAGCAAGGTACCATGTAACTTCCACTGCAGCTCTATTGGAATGGATGCTTAGCTAGGCTTAATTCACTGAAAGTCAGTTTAAAAGTCAGTAATGTTGAATTAAGCTACACTATTTATGAGGAAAAACAGTAAACTTCATTATTAATCCAGACAAGAAAATAATTTTACTAGGAAATACAAGCATTAAGTGAATAATATGAATGACAGATGCTAAGACAGGAAGTATTTAGGTGCAGGCTACAAGCTAAATAGTATGTCTTTGCAGTACTTGATGTGGGCACAAAGCTTAACCATACAGTCTGTGGTAATCTTTACTTTTTAAGTTTTATTTGTAAATTTTTCAGAGTGTTACAGAGCAAATAGCTGAATTTTCAATCCCAGATGTAAGATGCCTTGCTGGTCTCCTCTCTGTGAGTTCCAGTGATAGGATGCATGGGAATAGCTCAAAGCTGTGCCAGGGGAGGTTTAGACTGGAAATTAGGAAGCAGTTCTTTACCAAGAGGGTGGTCAGACTCTGGAGCAGACTTCCTGGAGAGGGGGTCAATATCCCAAGCCTGTCAGCATTTGAGGTATTTGGACAGCATCCTTAATATCAGGCTTTAACTCCTGGTCAGCCCTGAGCTGGTCAAGCAGATGGACTGATCATTTTAGGTCTCTTCCAACAGAAATAGTCTGTTCTAAGTCAGATGCTCTGTAAATCACTTTAACAAGGTTTGTGTAGGAACATGGTCATGCAGATGACACTGGTCACAAACACAGTGAAAGGTGGTTAATTCATGCAATTATTTTGCTTAATTGTGAATAGAGAGCATAAAAGTTGCTTTCTCTTCATAATGTGTTTTCCATTTGGCATCTACGGAAGTGCAAATAATTTTAGAAATTGATTTCTTGTTTTATAGTGGTTCTGTAAAAATTTTTTTTCCCATTCCTCCAGATGAAGTTTGACAAAGAGGGAAATACTACCTATTTTGGTAAGTTTTTGTTGTAGTTTTGTTTGGGTTTGTTTGAGGTGTTTTTTCCTTGTCCAATACAGAAAAGCCCAATTGAAATCTACTTGGCTAAAAAAATTATGTTTTGGATACTTCACTGTGTTTATGTTTGAGATGTTGCAGCATTTCTTCTGTTTTGCTGCCTTTCATTGGGCCTTCATAGCATCTCTGTTGTTACAATTTTTGTACAGTAAGTAATATTTTGAAAATAATGTATAACTATCTCTCACAGGAAGGTGATTTTTGCTTTGCTTTTTCTTTTTGACCACCCTGCTACTTTTCCTGCTTTGTCTGTCCATGTAGGATTACATGTGCTTTCTCAAAGGAGTCACTTGTTTCTGATGTGAAATTAATTGTCGTGGCCAACTTTTTCACTTACATCTAGAATTTTTCCATTCAAGATACAATCTTTTAAATTTTGTAGAAAATAACTTAGATTGGGGAGTCATTAGGAGGAAAACCTTTAAAAATAGCTGGGTTATTTTGTTGTGGGACTTGATGACACACTAGGATGTAATTTTGAAACATACGTGCCTCTAAATGTCTTCATCTAAAAATGCTTTCATGATAGAAAAGAAGAAAACAGAATTGTACCAGGAGTTGGGTCTTCAAGCTCGAGATCTAAGATTTCAACATGTGATGAGCATTGCAACCAGGAACAACAGGATCATCATGAGAATGGAGGTAATGGTTTCCCTGTAGCTGAGTGTAAACCCTGTCTCATCCTTGTGCTTTGATTTTCTTGCACAGCAAAAAACCAGCAGCTTTCTGTGACATGCAGTCCAGCAGTAAATGTTTCTTTGGAGCTCTGCCTAGCAACCAGAGTGTGAGTTCAACTGTGCACATTAGTGACCATTTTCCTTGTTGAGCACAGGAGAAACATTACTAACATTGGTGCAGAGCCTCTTCTCAATCCTTGGCACAGTGCTATGTCTGAGCCTCTTTGCAGTTAGCATGAGATTTTGTTATTTTCCTACCTGAAATGACATTTGAAGATTGGTTTTATCAAAGCTCAGATCATCAAATGTGCTATAGTGTTATGAGAAATCTTCAGGGAGTTTTTTTTTCAGACTCCTTACATGTACTGTCTTTTTCAGTTCTTGAAGGCTGTCATAACACCAGAGTTTCTTCTGATACTAGATTATCGTAATTTAAGTCTGGAACACTGGCTCCTCAATGAGCTAGCATCTCAGCTGGCTGGGGAAGGTCAACTAGTCACATATTCCCTGCCCTTTGAATTCCGAGCCATAGAAGCAATTCTGCAATACTGGGTGAGCTGTCTCATTTTTTTTTAAATGTTTGGGAAGTTCTTGCTACACAGAAAGAGCAGTATGACTTTAGACTTGTGTTAATATTTACACATACATATTTTTATATGTATTCTGCACTTTCTCTTTTTTTTTGTTTTGACCCCTTAGTTCTTATGGTTTTGTGTGTATGTGTGTTTTCATTCCCTTTCCAATAAAGTGCTGTTTGGATATGATGGCTTCACTACCATTTGGATAATTAAAAAACAAGTCAGAATTCCTTTCTAGAACATGTTATAGCTGGAATGAAAATCACACAAAAGTGGTGAGGTTTTGGCCTCTTGAGCAGGAGGAGTCAGGATGAGATTTCTAGCCATCATTACAAATCTGTGCTTGCTAATTCTAATATAACATTTATAGACAATAGTGTTTTAGCTTTATAAGCCTTATTGGTGTGGTTGTCACTGGGTTTCAGTTTACTTTTCATGAAATACTGTATTGTGCACTGGCTTTGTGTTTATGGAGTATCCATATAGGAAGTATTTCCCAGGCACTGTAAAGCATGTTGTATTAAATACCTGTTACTGTGAATTCTGTGTTGAGAGACAGGAGTCAGTTGCCCAAATCATTCTAAATGAATTATTTTAATTCTTATGAAGGATCATGTTGTTATCTAGATCAGCAAACTGCAGGGAAGACTTAACACTTTGCAGCCTCAGATCCTTGAGACACTGGAAGCCCTAGTGGATCCCAAGCTTTTATCTGTGGATAGGAGTAAACTACACATTCTTCTGCAAAATGGCAAGAGGTAACTAAGAATAAACTGTGAAGACACTAGAAGATGACCATAGAAAATGGCATGCATTAAAGTCTTAGAAAAATGGTATCTGATATTAATTTCCTAGATTACCGTAATGCTGGACTGTGCATCTTATTTGGAAATGTAAAAGTCAGTATGTGAATTACCTAGTGATAAGGGGCAAAAAGGGAAAGAAATCCTGAATAGCCAGAAATACTGTCATGCTTCTTAAGTAGCATCTGACAAAACAAAATAATACCTAAGAGAATCAAACAGTGTGAAAATGTTCCCCTTACTGTAAACCTTTGTAAACCTGTGTACATCTGTGCATTGAGGTTACTTGTACAGTGCTGCCTTCATGTATTGACCTCTCTCATATGATAGTGCAAACATGCGCTTGCTATGCTCTCGAAGAGTGTTTCCTTTTGTGGCTTACAAATACATCCAGAAACACATCTGGATGCCTTTTAGTGTGTGTCTGTACCTCACTGTTCCCCAGACAGATCACTGCCACAGCTAAGTGTGTGGATTGTAGAGCATGATTTGAATGAGCTCTTACAACCCTATAAGAAAGTCTTCCCTGGCCACTCCGTATGGCGAGGGTGCTGGCTGGCAAACTCGTGTAGAGATTACCTTTGGGCACTGGTGCCACTGGGGATTACTTGACCTTTTGCCTGTTTGTCTTTCAGCTTGTCAGAACTGGAAACAGATCTTAAAGTTTTCAAAGAAACGATTCTGGAGATCTTAGATGAAGAAGAAGTAATAGAAGAACTCTGTCTGTCTAAATGGACTGATCCACAAGTATTGTATGTATAGTTTGAAACCACATGCATACATTTTTTTAACAGTGTATTTTGTTTGAGGAGAACTTGAACACTAAACTGGATGTTTACTGCTAAAAACCAGAAAGAAAAAGTATTTTTAATTTTTCTTAATCCTAAAAAAATTAGAAAGACTGCTTGCTACTTCAGAAACTATTGTAGTTGCCATTTTGGAGAGGAACTCCATTGTTGCAGTTACAAATAGTTCTTGACATAACAGGCTGGATCATGTGGTATGTGATGGGAAAGGAGCAGGATGGCAGAAAAAGCAAATGTTATTTTTCAATATAAATCAACCCCTTCTGGGAGCATTTTCTTCAGTTTCACCAAAATAGGGCAGGTTTTAAAGCTTGCTTCTTGAATAGGTCAGACTCCACACTTCCTTTACTAGAAGAGTTCTGAACGCCTTGGTCCTAGTTTTTTGCTCACCAGCAGAACCTGAAAGAAAGAGGCCTTGGAGGAACCTTGGGCATCTGAAGAGCAGCATTCCAGGAGATGTATGTGCAGAAACAATCGTATTGCACTCTGGGGTTCTGGTGAAGAACAGCACACAGCAAGAGCAGCACTGGTCAGTTTAATAAAAACTGAAAACCAGAAAGATAATGTATACAATTTCCAAATATGTTTTGGGCTCTCAGGCATAAATATGTGTTTTATATATAAGCAGACAACAGAAGTTACCTTCTAGGGTACTTTGTGAAGTTCCTGAATGATACTTTTGCCTGACTGCATTGCCTGTACATTTTAATCCTGTTCACACGGTGTGCAGGTTTGAAGTCTTGCCCTGCAGAGCTTAATCTAAATGTGCAGCAGAAACGCAAAGTTCTAGAAGTTGGACATGGTTTGCATTTCTAAGGTATCTTCTGGAGCAGTATCAGAGGTAGCTCTAAATTCCACCTGGTCTTTTTCCTGATTTTGCTCACAGCCTTCCTTTAGATTTAATACAGTCTGCTGGCAAAGCCTTTGGTGCCTCACGGCAGACAGTGTGTAGGGGATCTAGGAGAGATCCCAGTGGCATTTTATGCTTGTGTCAAGAGAAACCCACAGGCATCCCTTCTTTAAGACGCCAGTGCACAAGGGTAGGACAGGTAGTAGGGGGCTGTGTGAAGAGCTCTGCTGCAGGATGCAGTGAGGCAGTCTGTGCACAAGGCACACCGGGAAACACAATCCATGGCAACACATTTGGAAGCACATTGGCCATGTGTGAACAGCTCTTTTTGGATCCAGGATTGATACAAGATAGGTGGTACTTGGTGAATTCAAATTTGAGTTCATCCTGAAAGGATGTGGAGGAGCCCAGTTAGGCAGATATGTGCTGTCAGAGATCTTTTGCAGCAGAATGGTGAACTTAGCTCAGAGAGATGAGGCAGACCTCTTAACTTTGTGTGAAGGAACACCAGAATGTGGAAGAGTCATGAGACAGTTAATGAAAGCAGATCCAGCGGCAGTTATTGTAATGTCTTTATGGCTGTCTTTATTTTGTATATCCCCAGAGGAGCTGATATAAACGTACAGATGCTCATCAAGTAGGACCTTGAGCTGAATCTGTAATACTGCAGATAGTGCTCTAAGACTTTCAGACTTTCTCATCTCCATGCAGTGGAAACCTAAAGGTTTGGAGGGCTTTCAGATCACGTTGGCTAACTCAGTTTCTACCCCAGGAAGAGAGAAACTAGGTACTCTGTTAAAGGTCCTCAGGGAGCTTACTTGAGTTGATTTGTAAGACATACCACTTATTTTCATGGAAAACTATTTCAGGGGTGTTCCTTTAGCAGTCAATAATGCCAGGAGGAGATTCATTAAAAACTTTAGTTTCTCTAGAGAAATGAGATCATACTACGAAACAAAAAAATATGAACAATCTTCCTGGCTTTGCTGCTTAGTTTCCAAGCTCTTGTGGACCTCAGGTGCCTCAGTTTCATCTACACAACGCCAGAAACATGTATTTCAGAGGAAGGCTACTGCTCCAGCAGTAGCACTCTGAAGTAAGATGAAAGTCTTTCAGACTTCACTTAAGAGAGGAGCATCTTTCATTAAGATGGTCACTCCTTGGCTGCTGTGGGACTGAAGACTGCTTTGCAGCAATTGCTGTGTATAGCTCAAATGCTTTACGACTAAACCATTTTAATATAACCTAAACCATCTCCATCACTGTGTAATTGTTTCTGTATTGACTTTTGGTTAGTTCATTGTTAGGAGTTTTTGACTGCACTGTTACCGGCTCTCACCACTTGAGGGCACCAAAACGTTAATCTGTCAAAATAGTTAGCATTTTATAATAACTTAATAATATATAATATAAATTTTTTACAACTTTTTAACTTTGTAATATCTGAAAAACTTAAGATTTGTGGTGGTGTGCATACTTTGGGCACATCAAATGTTAACTTCACTACTTAAAATAACTGATTGCCTATGTTGAGGTGCTGATAAATACAAAAGTATTTTATTTTGTGCTGTTGGAACTGATGGAAGTTCCTCACCAATAGGTTGGATTTTGTGGTGTAGTGTCTAACAACACTCTTTTCCCCCACAACTATTATGTGCCTTACCACATCAGTAATACACTTCCATACAATATGTATATATGTAGATATATGTATATATAACCAGGACAATATAAATTGTTGCTCACAGTGAGGAGAGTACGTCTGGGATTGACCATGCAGAGGAAATGGAGCTGCTGTTGGAGAATTATTACAGACAAGCAGAAGATCTTTTGAATGAAGCTCGTGAACTCAGAGTACTGATTGATGACTCAGAAAGCATCATCTTTATCAACCTGGACAGGTTAGCTACCATCTGTTAGATTACCAAAATCTGGAATTTAGACTTTCTTGGCCAAAAATTTTCTCAAATTTTACTACAAGGAAAGTTGGAGTATTCTGTCTTAGTGAGTCTTCTGTCTTAATGGACTTGTAGTCACAGCAGCTGTATTGCGCTTTTCTAGTCGTGAACTGGATAAAGCAAAGCAGGAAGATAGCCTAATTAGTGTGTGTAGTTATGTACCTCTATAGCTAGGCACCAGTCTTCCCTAGCAGCAAAACCCAGCTTCTCCTAGACCCTTCAGCAGAGCTATCCTATACAGGAAATGTCTGCAAATTGTGAAGCATATTAAATTCTGTTCAGAAAAGATTACTAGCCAGAGTCTGGCTAGGCTACTCAGATTTCCAGTACAAGTTACATTATTACTCTGTAGAGTGATACAGAAATTAGTAACTTGGGAGCAAGTTTTCTCTTTATCTCTGTATGCTACATTTTTCACTTTTAGTCAGATCTCTTATTGAAAAAGAGTTGTAGCTTGCATTTGCAAGAACATGCCACTCTGAGGGTGGAGTTTAGTATTCTTTCTCCTCTACACTGTGTCTCTGTCTCTCTGGGTGCCTCCCAGTGAACCCCGGCCAGCCCCGGGTCGGCAAACAGCGGGGGGGCAGCCCCGAAGTGACCGACAGCGGGGGGACACTCTCTGGTGCCCCGAGGGTACTGAGGGCAGCTAGGCTGGTCACCTTTGCAGCAGAAGAGACAGAGGAGACATCGGTGGAGGGTAAAAGGCTGACTCTGAACAGGGGGCCGATCCAAGGTTTATTCGGAGCTCCCCAGGGAGCCCCACACCTCAGGGTGCGCCGTGCTCAGAGCAAGACAAAGGAGTCTCGAGGTTACATTTAAAGGGGGGGAGGAAACCGAGGGTAGATACATTTGCTGACCAATAAAGACCCTCCAGGGATGCAGCCTTAGGGGATGGACATTTGGGATAGCGTATAACATCATCCCTGGGGGGCTGACCCCTGGCTTCGGAGTAATCACTCGACGGCTTTGACCGAAAGATCTAGATAGAAGGGATGGGATGCTGAGTGACTGACACAGAGCCAGGGCGGGGATTTGGGGGATGATCTCAACACAGGAGAATGGTTACACAGGTAGAGGAAGGGGGTACAAAAAGGGGTACATCATCTGGGGAGAATAAGGGGATACAAAATCAAAACTATTACAAAGTATTACAAAGTATAAAAGCACGCTGCAACAAACTGTAGAACCACTTAGTGGACGCTGTATCAGGAAACGACAAAAATCTTTTTGTGGAAGACTTGAATGTGGAATTCACCCAAAATGACTGAAGTTTGTAGTCTGTAGCATTTAGCAACTCAGTTTTTTTTGTAAAATGTATTAATTTGCACGGTAACAATAAATTCTTGTCCATTGTGAATATAGACATAGAAATTCCAGCCAGATGGTGGTGAGAGGTCACAAATTTCAGCAGAAATTTACTGTTACTCTGTATATGCACCTCTGAGAAGTAAGCAATACTGGAGAGTCTGATGATGGTTAAGCAGATGGTTAAGAACCTTTAGATGTGTCCAGATGTAGCAATGTCAAAACATTCTTTGTATTGTTGTTTCATGATCTTTGCAGCTGGGTTACCTAATTTCAGCATGACTTCCTCTCTTTCACTATTTGTTTTTAGTGCATTTTATGTGGAACTTAAGAATTTAGGCAGCAAATAAATTTTTGGGTTCCCCTTACAGATGTTTCTCCCTTCTTTAGCCACCGTAATGTGATGATGAGGCTGAACTTGCAGCTGACCATGGGGACTTTCTCTGTCTCTCTCTTTGGACTCATAGGAGTTGCATTTGGTATGAACTTGGAGTCATCCCTTGAAGAGGTAAGGAACAAGTCCTGCATTTATCATAAAATGTGGATCCTGCTCTTACAGTTTACTTCATATTTGGTACAGTTTCATTTTTTCCATGGACAAAGATCCAGTGATTGAAGTATTCATACAGTCACTTCTTTTATAAGCAAATTACTGCATGGCAAACTGCACAGTATTGTATTGCAGCCTTTCTTCTGTGTCATGTCCATGGAAAAGAAATGGGAAGACAAATTTTTGGTTGTATAAGTGGTTATAAAGAAGTATTAAAGTTTCCTTAATGATCATATATTCTGACAAGAACAGCTTTGTCATCTAGATACAAGGGTATCTGTCAAGCAGCCAGGGCATTTCCAGCACATTAGAGGAAGTACTCTACTGTCAGTAATTGTTTATACCTTAACTGGGGAGAAAGGGGTACAGGCTGGGGCAGGGGCGGGGGTAGAGATTTAAAACAGCACATGCCACCTTTAGAACAAAAAAGCAAAGCAAAGACCTCTTCCTTTTCAAATCAGTTAAATATAAGGGTTGAATTTTCAAACTTCCCAATGAAGGAAGGAAAACTGCATGGAACAGTAACTGAATACAGTAGTGATCCTAAATAAAATGCTTTGCTGTGAAACAGCCCTTTTTCCAAGTAAGGGCTTGGCTGTTGATGGTGAAGAGTTTACTGCTTCCTCTCATAAAGGAAGAAAACACTGGTGGGGAGTGAGAGATTATTTTTGCACAATCCCTTTTCTGGAGAGATAATTGGATGACTAATGGGAGTGTTCTCTTGGTAGGACCCCAGGATATTTTGGTTGGTGACAGGGATTATGTTTCTGGGAAGTGGTCTGATCTGGCGGCGCTTACTTTCCTTCCTTGGGCGGCACCTGGATCCTCCGCTACCTCCTCACGTACGTATGGCTGGCTGGCCTCACTCTCTGCATGTACAGTCCATTCCTAAGGCAGAAAATAAGATGGCTTAGATGGGTAGGCCACAAAGCATGGCAAAATTCAGCTCAGGGTCTGCTCCATGACAGAGAAAGTGCTCCCTAGCTGGACTCAAGGAGATGGGGTGCCCCAGCACCGGGCAGAAGTGAAGCTGCAGGCTGTTCCATGAGAAGTACTTTCACCTGGAAGCCCAAGGAGAGTGGGGGCTAATGGTAGAAGTAGTCCTCGTCCTCCTACCCACGTACTAACTCTGGATCCATAGTCCCTGACTTGTACAAGAGTAAGTAGAGCTAAAAGGATGATGAGGACGAGCACTAGCTGTAACATCTCTCTGGAGAACAATGCCGTCGGGTTGTGATGTCCTGACTCTCAGTGTGAAGTTTCTAAGTTTCTTATATACGCACCACTTATCTTTGTCATTGAGGGTACCGAGCTGTAGGAAGATTTCCAAAGAGACCATGCTCAGATTAGCATGTATGGGTCATTTTCCCTATTGACTGCACTTTCCAGGACTTGTGGAACTGTGTTGTCTACCTCATCTCTGCATTGTAATATTTATAGCAGACCAATCAGTAAAGTCAAAAGTTAAGTTGCTAAAAGTGACAAAGGGAGGCTCAGATAAACTCCCTTTCTCTCTCCTCTTTTGCTACTAAGAATCAGCTGGCAGTAGTTGTGGATTGTTGACTATGGCTACAGTTTACTAGAATATCCTGAAGTGTAGCTCGAAACCAAGTCCACCACATACTGACTGACTTGGAGAAAGATATTGGGAGGTATTAGGGAGGGAGAAGCTAAAGACACTGTTCTGAAAATAAGGGGAGCAAAATCAGGGTTCAAACATCTGTGGAGCCTTACTTCCTTCTGCTACATGTAAAGCAGCTTCTCATGTAATCAGGCTATTTTGTTTCTTGCCTAGGTTCCTGCAGCTTTGAAAAAATCCCAACCAGCAGCTGGAAGAGTGGACATAAAGACGAGTCTTAAAGGAGAAACATTTGGGCTGAGCAGAAGCACATTAACAAACCAGTAGGAACAGCAGGAATGAAGAGACTTTCATTGTTACAGGGTGGACTTTGGACACTTTCCTTGTGTTTGTTCTTCCTTACTGAAAACTGAAAGAATTTCTAAACTTGCTAATTTAATATATATTTTGTGCCAAAAACCCACAATGAAATTTTTAATGCTCATGCACATAAGGAGAGAAACATGAGAGCAAATAGCAAAATGCTTTCTATAGTAGTTTCACCTCCGCCACATGTATGTGCCTTTAGTTTTCTGTGTCACATACATGTACTTACTTTTGGGGCATTCTTATTTGTAGTGTTTCTGTCAAATACTGCTTTGCTTAGTGGTTTTTCTTACAGAGAACAGAATTTTTGGCTTAAAGAAGGGAGCAGTCATCATTGATCAATAATTCTGGTTCTGAACTGCAGATTTAGGAATCTGACTTCAAAGAAAAATCCACCCCAAGACTGACTTCTTGAATGGATTTTTAAGGCCCTATTTAATTGTAGAGAACAGGTTTTCTAAAGCAAAAAGCATACCTGCATCTCTTGTGAAGCATGACTTGTAGATTGGCAGCAGTGAGAAAAAAGGAGCAATAAAAGGCTTTGAAATGTAGCTGCTAATCTTGTATATTCCTTAACAATTAATTTAGGCTCCAAACAGCAGTTCTAGGAACAGGATAAGCAGGCATATGGAGAATGCCCACTTGAGTTTTCCGTCTGACACTGTTTCAACACACATTGATACCGCTACAGTTTAACACCTCCTGTTGCTGTAATTCAAATTCTGGTTAAAATCATCAGATGGGTTGTTGGTTTTTCTTAAGATGGGCTGTGCTTTCTCTCTTCCCTCCAAGACAAAGCATGGACTAGCCTGCACCACAGTAAGTAGCCAGGTTAAAGGTGTGGAAGCCTGATGTCCTGTGATAGGCTGAAGGAAGGAGTAAAAGCCTTATGGCAACTATTTGTTTGTTCTTAGGACTTCTCTTTAATGGTATGGTTCTCCACTGGTTTCTCTCAGGTTGTAGAGGGAGCATGAAATCACGTCACATTGTCGCAAATTTCCTTTTTGGGATTTTTTAATCTATCTGTAACACAGTCAGCGGCTCCTTAGGTGCTACCATGTAAATCGTTGTATGGCAGGGTTGAAAAGACAGTAGCTGTAGCTGTGAACATTCTTCTCAGGACTACTAAGTCAAAGATGGAAATAAAAAGGTTCATAAATTAAAGTTGTCCAGGCCTGTGATTCTGGTTTGATTAAAGTCAGTTGTATGTAGTTCCTTTCCAACAGTTCTTCTGTACGTGACTTTAAGTACAGATACTAATGGCATGAGAAGGTGAGAAGGATAATGGGCCTTGTTATGCTTTTGAGTTTTTTAGCTGATTTTTTTTTTTGCAGCCTTTAAGCTTAGCAGGTAAAGTAGTAAAAAATCACCCAACTGAGCAGTCCAATGGAAAAAACAATTACTCACATACTTTGGCTGATAAACTCCAGGAATCTCAATATGTGAAGGGAGATAGATCCTGATATTTTCAAATGAGCTGTAGTTTCTTTAGGCCAGAACTGATACGTGTTGGTGCAGCTGTTAGGGAAGCCTTCTCATAAGCTTTTTTTGTAGGGAGGCTTCTGTGAACTCCTTTTGACTCTTCACCTGTACATAACTGACTCAGAGCACAATAAAAACATGACGTGTCTTCTACAAGACTGTTTTTTATCTGTAGGCATATGCAAATGTTTAAAGTTTTTCTTACAATTCAAGTAATCAAAATGCAGTCAAGTGCAATAAAATTATGTGGAGGTCATACATAGAAAAAAGCAGTAGAGTGTATGTTCAGAATGGAATTTCTACAGAACATACTGGTTTTGTCAGTTTTGATTTGAAGATAAAATCTTTATTCTGCCCTTGAAAGTACACTGCTTGTTTTGCCTCATACCACAGTTAACAGATTTGTAGCATAAGTACTGCAATCCTAGTTACTGGTAGCCAGTTACTTCTTTCATGAAGTTCATATTTAACTTCTTTTTTAAAATGTTCAGCTATTTGGGTAACTCCTCAAAATAGATACCAGAATGCATTGTACATCAAGCTAATGTTCACCTTGCCTTTTTCGATTTGTTTAGAACAACATTCTTGAGAGAGAATTCTTAGGAAGGTAAGTTGAGGTATTTAATTTTGGAGTATGACCTTTGGAATTTTGTGCAATTTTATTTCAAATAAAAATAATACCTTGCCTTTGTGAAGGAGGCAAGAGAGAGAAAACACACGTGTGTCTACAGACTAGTATTGGTAATAATAGTATCAACACATTCTGCTGCTCAAGTTGTTTAATAGATAATTGATGTACGCTGTTAAACCTGCATAATACAAAATTAGTGTTAATTAGTTAAAGACAATACTGTTAACAATAAAAGCCATTAACAACTCCATGTTACCATGGTCATGGAATTTTATATAAAAGCAGAAAGGATGTCAAGAGTAATCAGCCAAATTGCATTTCCTCAAACTTTTATCAGTCTTGCTTGTTCTTTTTTTCTTGGGAGACCTGAGCTGCACTACACCCTCAATGCATGCCTCAAGACTTGAGAGAGAGAAGAGACAGTCCTGTTGATCAGCACCCACCTTTCTGTCAGTCTTAAAGCTGCCCCTGCTCCATGCTTATTATTTTGACAGTAACTTTCCATAACTTAGAATCCTTATCACAGTATGTAAGAATTGTAAATGCTGTGCTGCAGTTTCCCAGTTTTGTCAAGAAGATACTCAAATCTGGCCAGTAAAGAAGGTGGCCACTGACCATTCTTTATACAGCCAAATACTACTGCCAAAAATACAGCTGCTTGCTCATTTCAACCTGTCAAAGGTTTTCAGAGCAGCTTGCTTGTTTTAGATAAGCGATGCTGCTGCCCACCACAGAATTCAGCAAAAGCTTGCTGACACGGTGTGTTGGTTTGTGTGGGTTCAGGAAAGTAGCACAAATACTACAGAGATTCTTCACTAGAAGACCAGGTGTGCCCTGGTCTTTAAGGCTACTGCAAACTTCTAGAGCGAGTAGACAAAAAGCCTTCCACCAAGTCGAGCTTTCGCAGAACTTCTCTCTGCTGCCACTACAACTTCTTTCTGCAGGGATAAAGAGCAAAGGTTAGCAAAATGCAGGTGCATGGCTGCCTTAAGCTTCCCTTGTGGATTTTGACCATCTCATTAGTGTCATATAGAAATGTGATGGGAAATGAGAGAGCAGCCCACCTCATCGGAGTAGCAGTTAAGATGATAGTTTGGCAAAACAGACTGTTTCATTTGGGGAACTGGAGCAAGCTGGAACCAAATGAAATTAGTCTCTTGCCCATATAAACTGCTTCTCAGGGCTGAGATCAATAGGGATGAAGGGAGAGCATGGACTAAGTGGTGCTGTAGCAAGAGAAAGCAGCTGCTTGGAGAATGGTCTCTTGCACTTAGCAGTGCCTGTGTTTCAGTTGTTGGATTATGCACCCTAGTCTAGCTGAGAATTTCCAGGTGTTTCTCCATTGCATATTTTAACACAAGAAGTCAAACACCATTTGCTGAAGACCTCCTCAGCCTGGTACTGAGGCTTCCTCTGTACTCATGCAGAGAACTCCAGTCCTCATGGAGGTAATGTTAGAGTGAGTTGAACATTGGAACATGGCCAAACAAGCACTAAGTAACCTACCAGATGAAAAAAAAGCTCCTCAGTGCATCATACAAATGTAGCAAAAAATGGTAAAAATTAGTAATAAAAAAATGGAAGCAAAGAGAAACAGGTACACAAACACATCCTAAACCAGTCAGGTAGGAACTGGACTTCTGTGGTTAGAAACATGTGATGTATGAATGGCATTCATTGCAGGTGATAGCCAGGACAGCAAGCCTGTAAAGACTAAATGAGGTTTTGGGTGCCTGATTTGCTCCACAGCTGAGCATCCACTTTGCATACAGGTTGGCATGAAGCTGGGAGGCACCTATGCTGCATTTCCCATGGAACCTTTCAGCATACTCCTAAGCAGTTTTGAATTCAGGCTGCTTTAAAGAGATTAAAATTTTTTTAATTTAGGTGCCAAAATTTTAACAACTCCATAGCTCATTAATCTACAAAATGGGTTTAATTATTGGTTCAGAAAGTAACTTAACTATGTAAAGAACTTAAGACTTGAAAATGTGTAAGATACATGTGAGATGTTAGCTAGTATATGCAAGTGAGGTAGAAGGATGATGTGAAACAACCAACCACAGTAATTTTTCTCACCTTTTTTTCAGATTTCACAGTGATAACAGAACTCCCAAATCTTGATAATTCCTGTAAAATAACATTGCTGGTTATAATGCTGCTATGTTTTTTTAAGTAGGACTTTTTAGTTTCTCTCAGTAATTTGTTTTCTGGTTACTTACCTCAGGAGAAATCAGGATATACTGTGCCTAAAGAAGAAAAAAAAGAGGAAATAAAAAGTCAGTGGAAGAGAGTAGGAGACCAGTATGAAACCCCTGGCTCCTAAACAACAAAGTAATTTAAGAACAAACAGGAGGAGCCTGAGAGTTTTGCACAGATTCAGAAACCCGAGAAAACCTGGAACGAAGGCAAAGCACACTTGGTATTTGTACTGGATGTAATTAATTAGTTGTCATTCTAAACTTATGTCCAGAATTCATTTTCATGTATTCTTACCCAGTCCTCAGGACAAGGAGATGTCCATGATGTGCAGTGGCCTGTCACGTTCCCTGAGGATGTCTGTCTGCCATTGAAAATATAAACACGGCCAGCAGCCCCACCAGACAGGATTGAGGTGACACCGTTAGTTCGCAGTGGGGATGCCACAATCATTTCATCTGCACGTATTACAAAGAGGATAGAGCACAGCAGAAATGAATTAATGGTAGACCAAAATACAGGAGAGCTGGCATTTGCATGCCTCTAGATGCCACAATTCCTATTAATGATGGCAACTAAAATGTTTCAATTTCTGATTGAGTTGCTTGGGATTTTAGAAAGGCCTCCCTGTAAGGCACAATGGAATACTGGTACAATTTAATTGAGCACTTTTATGAATATGTAGGTGACCAATTTTCCTGTTGCCAAAAGTCAAACACTTCACTTCTGGTCTAGATGCATCAAGCTTTACCTAGCCCATCGCTATCCAGATCACTTAAGTATATGTCTCCTCCAAAACGAGAAAACCTCCTGTCCCCACTGAATGCGCTGAGCAGAGAAGGTTTGGTGCTGTTTGACAGGTCATATACTAGAGCCAGTCCAGCTTGATGTAGCACTGAGGACATAAATAAAATCCTAGACAGGCTGTCTGGAAAAAAAAAACCCACCAAAAAACAGATGTTGAGCATCAGACATAGGAACTCAGATTTAATACTTAAAATTGTAGGTAATACTGGCATTATATAAAATGGATAAAATTAATATAATGTATCAAATAACATCAACAATTATATAGGATTAACACTAATTAGCATAGGAAAAAAATCTTTTAGTCATAGTAACAGGGGAGAAATGCATTCAGGTTAGACTTGTGCAGTTTGATATCCTCAATTCCTTTCTGTCTACTGCCACAGTGAGGACAAAATACTGTGTTGTTTCAATTCCAAGAAATATGCAGTCTACTAGAAAATCACTGTTACATAAATAATGCAAAATGGTAATGCTGTTAAGCCCATTTTAAGGAAGGAAGAAGACCCACTGAAGTTGAGGCACAGTAAAGAGGACTCTATATATAAGGCATATACAGGTGATTACAATGATTTCTAATTTTTTTTTTTAATTACATGGAAATTTAAAAGTCCGTTTTCCCTTAAACATTGTATCTCCACTCAAGTCATGCAGAAACAAACATCCTGAAGCAGAAATTATCTCCAATTTTCAGGACATACCTGCAGTAGGTGCACCCACCACCAAAACTTTCCTTGTGTTCCCGGCCACAGACAGCACACCACTGGCCAGAGACAAACCCATTCTGCCCATCTCCTGTTAGATTTTTAAAACACCTATGTAATTTCTACAGAAAGTCACTTCAGTTCAAATTATTCACAAATATTCACAAATTATTCCCATACTAAAGAAGCAGCCCTACCTTGTCTCCAGTTATCTCAAACCAGCGCTCCGTACTTGGTGGGTTAAACCCGTACACCTTCCCAACACTCTGTCTGACATCTGGCAAAAGGGGACTGCAACTGGAATTACAATGCAAAATAAATTTGTATGTAACAACATATTATTATACATGTTCTCCCCTTTTACTCTGGAATAATAATGCCTGACAAATTCTATAAATCTACTTTAATAATTCCCATACTTGTTCGAATTAATTACACAACACTTAGAGTGTAGACTTGGTCTGTCTATCCACTTTTTTATCATCCAATACATCTTTATGTTTAATTTGCTTTTAAAAATACTATCTCAAAGTAAGAGCTATTCATATGGTTATTAAAAGCACATTTACCCATCAGCATTTTTGTGACCCCTCTCCTCCCTCCTCTAGGAAACACAAGAAATTCTTAGGTATCTTTAAATAACAAATACCTGCTCTAGAGACGGTCTAAAATCCTTGTCTTCATAAAGAAGGGTGAAGACACAAAACTTAATTTAATAAAAATATTCTAAGCAGAACAAAAAGGAAACTTCCTAAAAAGCGGGAAGTCTAATCTATTGCAAACCTTAAACCTTGCAGAAGCAGAGCAGAGCGGAGAAGGCAGCAAGCTGTCACATGCAACACACCTAGAACAAGTCCTCCATGTAGGGCTACCAATCAGTAGTAATGTCACGTTCTCCAGCTGGCAGCTGGCAAGTGAAAATCCAAACCAAGCATAGTTTTCTTCCCCCTGCACCATCCAGTTGGCATCCTGTACTGACAGAAGCCCTGAGAGACCAGAAAAAAATATGAATTAAATCTTGGTGTGTCCTGGCATTGAAAAACCCATTTTCAATCCTCCACTGATTCATCCTATGACAAGTTTCTCAAGTTGTGCAAAGTTCCACTGTTCATGACATGGCATCAGTAGTTGTTGACTTTGCTTGCTCACCATGCAGCTCTACTGGCTGGTGAAAGCTTTCATTAGACACAGTCTGTTTCTCAATCCTTCCAATAGCCTACATGAAGTACATGAAAACTACCACTCAAGCCTCCCCTAAACTATTTATTGTTTATCAGAACTTGTAATTCTTCAAGGGTCCTGGGTGGGTGAGCTTCAGACCATTCTGGCTATAATTTAAATAACTAATTCTATGCTTTGATTTTACAAAAATGTCACTTAGCAGTGTTTTGAACCCATGTTCTAGTGGTTTCTAATTTTTCATGAATTAGAACAAGCTGCAAAAATTAAGCATTATTGTAAATCTCAATTACATGATTCTGACAAAGCTGCCCAATCTTTATTATTTAGTTCCATATATGATATTTCCTCCCTCATTCACTAGAAACCTCATCACCTGTCCTCATGAACTGTATTCACTTGTAGCATTCCTCTTTAGCCACATGAAGGAGCATACAGAATGATAAATATTCATTTGTTGAGGTTAATTTGCAATTTTCCAAGAAAGAGCAGTGAGCCTACCCTGGACTCACAATAGATGGTTGAATCCATTGCTTTAGTAAAATTCCCAACACAGTTTCCCACAATTGTTCTTGCATCCAAGCTGGAACATTGCAGTCCAGATGGACAGAAAACCAGATGGGAAAAACGTGGTAGAGATTATCCCTCTGACAAGAGCAGAAAACCATGTGTTGTTCTCTGAATGCCTGCAACAAGTGGAGTGCCTTCAGGGATCAACTTTTTGACTCATCCTGTTGGTCACTTTATTATAAAATATTTTTTATAACAAGATGTCCTTTTTTGAAGCTGGGAGATAACAGGAGATTGCAGGGGGGTGGTTTCATTCAGAGGCACCCAGGCAGGCTGGAGTAACAGGCTGACAGGAGCCTCACAAAATTCAGTGAGGACAAATGCAAAGCCTGACCCTGGGAAAGGAGATGCCCTTGCACTGATACAGCTGGGGACAGACTGGCTGAGGAGCTGCCGTGTGGAAAAGCCCTGGAGATCCTGGTGAGCAGACAGTTGAGTGTGAGGCTCTGAGAGCAGACAGCCAATTGTGCCTCAGACTATGTAAGCAGGAGCATGGCAAAGAGACTGAGAGAAGTGATTGTTCCCTAGATCAGACCTATAATACGTTGTGCCATAACAGAAAAGATGTTGACAAACTGGAGCAAGTTTACTAGGGATGTTCCATGCTTTCTGTGCCTGTGAGGTCACTATGCATGGTGGGAGGCCAATAGACAATGAACATAAACGGAAACAAGAAAGGTTCATACTGGCTGTCACAAGAGTTTTTTTCCCTATGAGGACTACCAAGAAGTAGAACAACTGCCTGAAGTGTCTCTGCAATTTCTATCAGTGGAGGTTTTTAAGATGCAGCTGGACAAAGCCCTGAGCAATTTGGTCTGGCTTCACAGCTTGAGTAGGAGGGACACCCTCTGAGATCACTTCAAACCTGAATTATAGGATTAATAAGGAACAAATAACCAGTCGCATAAACTATGGGAGGGTTAATTTACTCAACTAATATTACCTTGGTGACTCCTGTTGAGATGAGAGTAAAATGCAACCACAAGTCCTCTCTGCTTCCCACCACCGGGTGCATATGGAGAACCCACAACCAGATCAGCATTTCCATTCCCATCAACATCAGCTGCCAGGAGGGACCAACCAAGATTACAGTAGGAATACTGCAATAAACAGTTAGTTTAAGCCTGAAATAGAACTGAAACCATCAATTCTGTAGCAAAATAGAGCAACTTAATTCTAAAGACCTAAATTTACTTTTGACCAAATTACCTTCCCACTCCCTGGCTTCAATTTTGTTTCCTTAGGTTTTTTGTTTGGTTTGGGTCAAGGTTCTTGGGTGGCTTTTTTTGGTTTTGAGGGCTATGCACCTTTCTAGTTATCCTGCTGCCTTCCTGCACTGGGGTATAAATGTCTTTCCCAAATACAACCAATCTAACCAAGCACCTGCTTGCTCCATCCCCATCAGTCTAAATTTCCTTGCAATGATAAGTTGAATTTTAACATTCCTTTTTCAAGCCTGTAAGCTCTTTTTCCCTTTATCTCACCTTCTGCCTGTGTAGCCCTGTGTTAGCCTGGCTAACAGAGTAGGATAAACAGGACATTACATTACCAATATACCTGACAAGTTATAGTAACGTTTGGCTGAGGAGCCAAGCCTCTTCCCTCAATTCCAAAGTAGACATACACAGCACCCTGAACAGCAGAAAAAGAAAATAAGGCATGAGAGCACCTGCATGTCAGTATCAAGTATGAAATGCAAGGTCAATCACAAAGAATGGAACAGCTCTGCAAGGGCTATATTTTCCCTCTCAGAGCTCTCCCATAATACTTTCTTTCCCACCCCAAGAATATCCATGAGCAATTGGTACTGCTCTAACCAAGCAACAAAGTAGAGAAGTACATGTCCTTATACTAATTGTAAGGAACAAGGGCAGTACAGTGTATTTATACTCATAATATACATGTTCAGATGGCTCAAATTTTGACAATTATTATTTAATGCAATGGCAAACAGTACCAGGCATAACAGATGCACACAATTTTCCAAGTGGTGAGTCTAAATAAAAGCAACTTAAATTCTTATTTAGACAGCTAAATTAGTATCTAAAATTCTGAAGAGTTTTAAGCTTAATGGATATAGTTTAAATCAAAACATCCTTGCCTCTCAGTTTGTATGGCCTAAAAATATTCAGAGACCATTATACAGGATTATCTGGTAAGCTGCAAGTCATTAAGCCTCTGTAACTTGATTATTTTAGCAAGTGTGTCTGTGTTCATATCACATTTTAGATATCATTTGTTGGCCTTGTGACAGCATATGACAAAATTCATTGACCCATGAGGTCCATTCCATACTCTCTGTTCCTAAACAAAAAGGGTATGTTTATATTTCATGAATGGCCCCTTACATTTCCAGCATGTCAGTGCTGCAAAGTTGCAATCTGGTTTAGATTTCTAATGTGCAAAAAGGCCACTGAAAGAGAACAACAGGTAGCTGTCATTGCTGTAGTCAAAGTACCCACAAAGATTATAAACATCTTTTTAAATTACAATGTCACCTTGAGCAACAACAGAAATTCTCTTTTTCATTTCAATGTTTAAAAATTATGTATAAGTAAAAGCATTCACTTTGGAGAATTAAAAAAAAAAAAAAAAAACAACAAACCCATGTTTGTAGCTTACTTTGTAAGTAAGAAACTGAGATCCCACAGAAGGTGCTCCAATTGCCAGATCTGGCACTCCATCCTCATTGAAGTCTAGGACTGCCAAGGCAGAACCAAATCTTCCTGAAGGCTAAAAGACAAGGGATTGCTCTCATGTTTTCCAGTCAAAACCATGAAAACCAAATGTACATTTGCACAGGGAATAACTGGAAACAGATGATAAAAGTCTATCGAACAATTCTTTTTCTTCTAAGAAATAACCCCCATGACAACATACTTAATTCAAAGTCAACTGTGTTAAAATTAAGGACAACTTAACATTAAGGACAACTGAATGTAATATGGTACTGCTTTGCTATTTCCTCTTCTGAGTCCAGTGCACCATTGATGTCAAGTTTATGGTCTTTCCTGTTGACAGCATTATGACTGGGAACCACTAAAACATTCTGTATGAAGACAGAAGCTGTTACTCCACAGTTTATAATCACAGAAACAAATGAAAAGAAAATGTATCTCATTTCTCCATATTATCTTCTTTATGAATAAAGGTATTTTCTACAGAGGATCATATTTAACACCCAAAAGGGTCATTTGCTCTTACTTCTTGGTCACAAACCAGCCACCATCATGTCTAATCAGAGTTTTACCTTTTTTTTTTTTTTTTAATACTCTTACTACAGACAAAATTATTTGGAGAGAAGTTATCAATTAATGAAGAAATTTAGCTTCAAAGGAATTAAAATATATAAAATTAATAGTTTTAGATTAAAAAGGACAGGAAACACAATATTTTCTTAAATGCAGGGACCAGAATTAGCTATATTGTGACTTACAGAGACACAACCTGAATTTTATTTAAGGGCACTTTATGGTCTAATACTCACTTATCTGGTACAGTAATGGAAGTGAACCTACAGATCACCATCACTTCAAGTGTTCCTGGGACTTTAATAATGATTATTTTTCTTGAAAAGTATATGACATCGGGAAGAGTGTTTCAGGAACAATACTCATACACATTAATGATACTATTGCTCATTCAAAATTCACCAATTTTCAGGCAAAAAAAATGTGACAAATTTTTGCCTTGACCCCTTACCTGATGACCCTGTAGTATTTGGTCAGCTTTGCTATCTAGATCCATGTCCTCTGGTGGCAGACCTGACTGGTTGCCATAGATCACATACACCCTCCCTATCTGAACATGGCCCATGGTGCTGTACCCTGGTGCTCCAGCCACCAGATCTTCAAATCCATCCTGGTTTAGGTCAGTTGAGATCAGTGCCCTGTACAGCAAGGGAGTCAACAAAATCAGCATTTGTTTCCAGACCACCACAACATTCGTGATAAAAACCCCATAATTCAGATAAACCAGGACCTGTGTTTCCCCATATTGTTTTGTAAATATCTATACAGATTTAAAATATTATATATTTATTTGTGTTTTCTTGAATTAAATAAAACCAGAAGAATCATCTTCCATCAATGCATCTGAGATCTTTAGGAACTGCTTTTTACTGACATTAGGCACCTGAGAGCAATCAGATCAAGGAGCATTAAAAAGGGCTGTTTGCACATGACAAAAATATTAAAAAAAAAAAGAAATTAAATATCTTTTAAACTGAACATCTGATTTAATCAATGGACTTAACAGGAGATAAGCAAAATTATCCCAGGTCTCAGTAACATGCTGGAGTTTAGAGAGGGAACAGTTTAGGGAAAGAACTAACTACTGTTAATTTAGCCAGTGTGAAGTAATCTCAAGAATTAAATCCAAATTTTGAGACAGCATAAGGGAAGACAGATAAGCATCAATGCAAATTTGTTTTATTACTCTTCCTTGTGGCAGGTCAAGACAGAACCTCATTGACAATGCGAGAGAACATGCCTCTCTCTGTCCTGAATCTGCCTTTGACCTCCCTACTAGTTTAGAGTATTTCCAAGAGGTCTCACTAGACATCATCAGTTATCAGCACATGACAGATGATTAATTTTGCACAAACATAATTCAAAAACCAAAAAAGGGTAACAACAATTCTTTGCAGTTCAGAACTAGAGACAATGGTAGTTCTAATGTTGATTCCTTACATTCTAAGCTTGATCAACATCTGAAAGAAATATCTTATACGTTTACTTGCTGCTCTGGTCATACAATATAAGACATTCCCTCAGATTTGTACCACTAATTGATTTGCAGTGTTACCTCTGAAGAGTATCCAAAGGACCAACAATAATATTTTGGTAGATACTTAAAATTTTCAGAAATTAAGAGGAAAGTGGGATGAAAAAATTACCAACCATCCAAGCCTAGCATAGGGTGAAGTCAGAAAATATGAAGCTGCTGGCTTGGAGATGTGCTTAGATTTCTGATGTGTAGCTCCTAATGCTCTCCAGACATTGGTTTTAAAAGCATGGTTTATCAAGCGGATGGATTTCTGAAATAAAAATAATAAAGGGACACAACAGTGGTTAAAACACAGGCTGAAACTCCAGAATGTTTTGGGACACCTCAAAAATAAAGTCATCAACAATGGAAATCAGCACATGGATTTAAGAGGAGTCTGACTCACATCATAGGCGCCATTTTAAAAAGACAAAAATCAGTATGCTCTAAAGAGAGCACTACTAGTCGTTCACTGCTATGCTTTGCTGGGAGTTCTTAACCAAAAAAAGCCATAATATGTCGGTAAAATGCAAATGCTAAATATATATTTTGTCATTTTTGGCATTGCAGGATATGTTCTAACTTCACTATACAATGAGCAAAGTTTAAAAACTGAGTATTTATGATGTACACATATACATTAACAATGGTACTGGAATGTCCATGAAGTCAAAGACCATCCAGAGATCCTGCTCCTTCATGCAGCATTTCAGACACAAACAAAAAGAATATTATATAAAGATGACTTTTACCTGACACATCTGTTATTTCTCACTTACTGTTGCCCAAGGCTGTATGTCAAATTGAACTCCTCTCTCTGTATAGTTTATATTCTTCTCAAGTGTTTCTGGAAGCAAAGAAGTTGTATTCTTTTGATGTTCATGTTTTGATTGTTTGTTTCTGCTAAAATAAAGAAGGCAGTGATAAGAATTAATATAACTGAAATAAAGACTCAAGGTAAAAGCCGCTCTTAGGTTCTGCACAGTTCCTTTATACAAAACTTAGTTATTCATGCTAAGAGAATCTCAAACTTATACACAAAAAGATTACCCAAAATATCTCTAATTTTCAGTAGCTCACTGTCCACATTAGCAGAAGACTCTCCTTTCATCACTGAAGCTTTGAACCATCAGAGCTCTACTTACATGTGGCTGTCCTTGTGCTCCTTTGTGCAGTTTATGAACAGAGGGTTTTCAGGCAGGTAGCAGTCACTAAAGAAAAATACAGAGGATGCAATTTAAAGATTTTTATCAAAATGGAAATGAAACTAAAACCACAACTTTTATCCTTACTGATTTCTCTGTCAGGAGTCATCAGTTTTCTCAAGAAAATCAAAATCAGAGCATCATCATAATCCTTAGAAACCCCTATGATGTTTATTTGGTGACTTTGATTAGATTCTGTATGAATATCACGATGAGATTCTGTATGAATATTTATGGAGCTCTTGAAGGAAACTTATTGTAACATGCATGCATATGAATCTAAAGTGCTATTAACCAAAGTGTTACAAAGAACATAACAGATTGTGCCATTCTGTATTTTAAGCATAATTTCCCAAAATAGCAACAGAGGTATTTTCCATATAAATGGATAGATTAATTGCCACTGTTGGTCTTCTAAAGAAAAAAGGTTGTATTTGTAAGAGAGCTGTACAAAGTTAAACTTTTGTAACAATATGAAATTGTGAGTAGAAGCCTGAGCTTGAACACTAGAATATATACTCTCACTCTTTCTAATCCTATTTGCCTTCAGAATCTGAAGGTAATATCTGATCTCTCCTCAAAAGGGACATCTTTGCTGAGTGATGGCAGCAGTTAAAAGGTGCAGACTCAGATTGCCAGTCCAGGTAGAACCTCAGGGCATGGCTATGCAACATTTAAGCAAGCCCTTGAGTATGTCTTAAAGAATGCCCCAAATTTTCTCTGGTAAGTTGTCACCTGGGCATGCCAGAGGCATGCTAGGGCAAAGGAGCATGAACACATACAAAATACAAATGCAAGGCCTGCGTAACCCTGTGCACCCAGGTGAAAGGCAGACATGGAGATCCCCTTGTCCAAGTGAGGATCTAAAACTCAGAACCTATTCTAGGAAAGATCCTGCCTTAAGAAGAACAGTTAAGTGGGTGTCAGTACTTGACTACTGCATTTCATAGTTTAGGACACACACTATACCTGGTTCCATTCTCTAGCATATGGCTCGTCATCTCAAAAATGTTGTTGGTCCAGAATGCCATGTCATCCACTCCGCCAAGGAAATATTCGTGGAACTTCTCCACCAGAAATGGAGATTTACTAGCAAATGTTGGAAAAAGCTAAGGGATAGGCAACATACTCAGTAAGATGAATCACATCGTCTCCATGCTCATTTTTATAAAGAAAACAGAAAACCAACCTTGCCAACAAGAAGCCTTTCTCCATGCCTGAAAAAAAATCAGAAATAAAACTTGCTTAATTTAATACTTAATAGTTTAAATAGTTCTTTTCAAAAGTCCTACATAGTAAATACCATGCAAGTCATTACATTTCCGTGTTGATTGTTAATATATTTTTAAAGTTGTAATGTAAAACAATATCAACTTTATTGCCCTTAATTTTGAAGGATTCAGTTTTTGTAAATGTTGTGTGACTATTGGTAATTAACTGAACTACAGGAAACAGCTAAACTATTCAGGGTATTCAAAAGCAGACACTGACAGATATCCAAAGTCCTTTATGAATTATTCTTTGACTTGAAGGGATCTACATAAAGTGTAGATGAGGCATGTATCTAGAGACTCCTTCAGTGCATGATAATTATACTGCTAACTCACCACAGTGCAATGGTACTTGAAGACACAGCTGTTCTCAAATAAATAGGCATAAATATGTTAAATGTACAAATGCATTAAATAGCCAAGATTCATCAACAGTGGCGTAATAATTTAGCAATCATTATGTAGTCCAAATTTGAATCCTAGTCATTAAAAAAATTCAGATGTGATTTTTGGGGTCTAGGAGGGAGTCTTCATTGCTGACATTAATGTGTAAGGTGTTTCAAATATGATTATCATATTTTTCCTACATATGTTTCACTTACAAATGTTCAGGCAGAGATATTCAACTTACAGTTCAAAAAACAGCAGATAAGTACATTCAGCAATTGTGCTTTCTGTTATGATCTCTTTTCCATAAAACTCCTTATAGATAGCAGCTAGGTCTTTGACAGGTACATACCTAAAAACAAAAAGAATATATTACAACAATAGATGGTCCACATCACCTGATAAAATACTGCAGTTCTTGTAATAACAACAGCCTATAAAATATTCCAAATTTAAAAAGACTACATAAGGTCATGAAGATCCACAAATACAGGATTGCACATGCAACTGTGAGACAAAAAAAAAGTGGCTATCTAAGTCTTCTGCTACTTTTTATTGCTTTTAAAACTGAATTAAACATCCTCAACTTCTCAAACTTTAAATATATCTCACTGAGCTTGTCACTTAACTAAGTTATTTAACTAGCTGCTAGGACATTCCAGCAAAAGGTTTTCACTAGTTATTTTACATATAACTACTTATAACTTAAGACACAAATAATTTAATCTTTTTTGCTCTGTTCCTACACATAAAACTCTCTTCTGTCCTTCCAGTTTTTATGTCAGAGAACACTAAATATGCATATAAGGAATACCAAACTCACAATATTTAAAAGTGTTGCAAGGGGTTTTTTTGAAAGAAAAATAAGGAAAGCATTTTTTTAAAACAGATTAAAACAGAATTATACTATGTGTAATTTTATTAAATATGACTATACAAAAAACCCATTAAATATGAAAGAAGGCAACCTCATTATCTTACCAACTCGATGTCAGGTAACTGAAGTCTAGCTCAAACTGACTCACTACGTCTCCTCCTGAGGATGAAAGAATGAAAAAAAACCCCACATAGCCCAAGAAACAAAACCTGTTAGCTTTCTGTCATGGGTTACAGTGTGCGTGAAGCTATATATGGCTCTTCTATATGCATTTATATGGCAGATCTTCTAGCTATGTATTTAGAATACACAAATGGTTCACCTGAAAGCATGCTGTACATTTTATACCTCCGGAGAATAATGTATAATTTAAAATCACAGTAGTGACTCCATCCATATCTTAGCATCCTTTGGTCTGCATTTTGGCTTTAATCCCAATGTCCATATGCCTTATCACATCTCCTGAAACCTGAGGACAGGTACAGCAGGGCTTTGCAAGCCATGGGGGAGGGCAAGAATACAGTGTCCATATGCCATCTTAACTCCTGCATTGCACAGCACAAGAGCCAGAATCAACCACCAGGTTTTGAAGAGGGCTTATTCCAATACAAGGATCTATGATTGGCAAACAGAAACATTACCAAAATCTCCAACACTGTGAGCTTCTGAGTATGAACCATGAAAATCAATCTGGAGAAAGAGAAAAACAAGAGAACTGCCTGCTTCTTTTCATATGAGCAGAAACAAACTCTCCAGCAACACTAATGGTTACTGGTCCCAAACCTGGCCAACTTCACTCTTAATGAATTTTGTGACATTGTGTCTTTCCAAAAATCTTCCTGAAACAGGGCTCCAGCTTTTCTTTTTCCTCCCCACCACAGTCCAAAGCAAAGCTATCCATTCCAATAAATCCAGTTGTATGAATAAATAAAATAATACAGGCTTACTTCTCCCATGGCCTTTAGAAATCCTTGATCGATGCCCAGGCTATGCCAGCTAACATCTGCCACCATATGTGAAGCAATTCCAAACAGGAAAGCCACCAGCTTCTCTGTAGCCTACACAACAACAATCCATTTGTCCGTCATTTTATTCCTGTCTTTAAGAAAATGTTAGCACTTTCTGTATATGCATTAAACAAGGATACAGGTGAGAAGCTCTTATAGTCCAAGAGTTTATCAGGACAAACTGCTGACAGCTCATTGCTTGATGCTGTGGTCAACTTTTGTAACTTGAGAAGCTTTAAGCAGTTTATACAGTCCAAGGCCATAGAATTACATGGTTGATGTGAGGGTAATTTGCATACTTCAAGTTAAATGTGTACCAAACTGTTTTGCTGGACCAAGGACAAACAATTCCACTTCCAAAGACTGAACTCCCTCTGCCACCATGGTTGTTGTGTAGGCAGACGGAGGAGAGAAATACATTCCTCTCCATGCTCACTTTTGACAAATTGTTTTTCGTTTCCTCCTACATAGCTTACAGACCATTAACAAGAGCAAATCCAGACTAAGTTAAAGATTTCATAAGTAAGAAATCTAAAAGGTGTCTGGTTTTCAAATGGCAAACCCTGAACCAGATCTCACAGGAATGCAAGACCACCAATTATATTTAAAAGTTTGGACCTATGAAATGTATCATAAGCACCAGACCACAGTGGAAATAATTGACAGACTTTATATGGAAACTGTAAGTTTTTTGTATGGTAAAGATTAAAACAGGATTTCAAGGGTTATTGTATAAGTAGAGACTTTAATATAAAAATGTTGGGTTTTTTCTACATCTCACAAATGATGAAATTACAACTAGTGAAGGTGAACAAAGTCACCTTGAAAACAAAGTCAATCAAGCAAAAGTTAATTAATTTTCTTTACCTCTTCCCATGGCTGAGGATAATTCCTTCTGATGTAGTCAATACTTGTTTTGAGAAATGGTGACCAGTGAGTTTCTTCAGACACATCACGGAACACTCCTATTGCAATAAAATTGTATCAGTATTTAATTTATTCTTTGGGGAAAAATGAAATACAAAAAAAAAAAGAAAAAGAAAGGGTTTTCTCCATTAAAAAAACCCACAGATTTTTGTTCAATTTAATGTCAGACAGATTATACATTTTGCACTCCAGCTCATGAAAAGTGCCAAAAGAGACTTACTTATATCTGATTTATACTAACAAAACAGATACTAGATTTACCTTCTATGATTTTCGTTTGAAACATCTGAAAATTTGGTGCCTGCTCCTTTTCTCTGTGCCTGTGAGTAGGTACAGTACAATGAAAAGCTGCCTCCCAAGCAGAGAGGACAAAGAGAGCTGACAGAGAACCTGCTGACTAAATGCATCCACTTGGATGGCAGAAAAGCTATAGGGAATGGCAGCCAACTCAAAATGTCATGTTGTCTGGCAGGTATCAGTTTCCACAGGGCAGAGGTGGGCCATGTCATCATTATCACCACAATAATTTTCCAGAGAAAGGCAAACTAGCCAAGATACAATCAGTGTAGGAGGGGAAAAAGGAGGAAAGCAGGAAAAAATAGGTTTCATTTAGAAGAATCATTTACTACTCTCACCTGAATTTAGGCAGAAAGATTGTGTAGGACCTAACAGCGACCTTGCCTAAAAATGTCTGTGTACCTACATAAAGCTAAATGTAAAGGGATGTTGACATAGACATCAAGCATCACACAGTGTTAAATTCTCTAAGGGGGGAAGAAGGTAGGCGGGAGATTGTTCAGACCATCAGTACTCTTGAAGGAAGAGTGTGTGTTTGTTGACACAGCAATGTGAAACTGCACAATGCTAGGGTAGATTAAACAATGAGAGAGCAGACCTTCGGGGGCAATTCACTTACCTTTTGGCCTCTTGACATATTACAGTGCAGCTAAACTAGATAAAAGAAGGATGGTTCTTGCTTAGCAAAATCAGAGTAGCCTTTTACATCTAAGCTTGTCTCCTGCCCAGAGGCAGTCTGGATGGCTTTGTTCTTGATCTTGTCATGCTCAGTTAAAACAGCTCAGGTCTGAAGAGGTAGCTATTTCTTCCATATTGACTAAGGAAACTGCTGGCAAGTGGTGCAACTCTAACATGGCAAGATGGACTCCAAGGTTAGTGAAGGAATGAAGATTGGATACTGCAGATAGAGAAGCTCTGACCTAGTATAAGACAGGTCAGAATGTTAGAAGGGAAAGATAAGGCAGATAGATATAAGCAAGCTGAAGTAGGAACTGAAAAAAAATCCCACGAGAACATCAGTCATGAAAATAAGTGTTGTATTTTACAAAGAAGGAAAGCAAGACAAGTTTGGGACAAGAAGTTGGCAGAGCCAGGCAGAAAACAGAGATGAGTGACCCAATGAGTGACAGAAGACAAAACCAGTATTAAATGCCAGAACAGAGAGGTGATTTGGATGTGATGAGCACATCAGGATATGAACCAAGCAGCCTGGAGTTGGCATGACCAACGGGCAGCATCAACAATCTCTGTCTAAGAAAAATGAGAACTTTGGCTGCAAGTGTGTGATTTGGCTCTAAACCAAACAAAGATCCTAACTACTCCTCAAATTTCATGGAATTTGCATAGCCCACTAAAATAAGCTACTTCCAGTACTTTAAACTTCCACTATATCTCCACAATATTGAAGGCAGATATCCTCAGACAAAGTACTTACCACTGCCCTGTCTCTGGTATCTGCCTAAACATCCTAATAGCTTGTACCTGGGGGATAGGCTCTTTATCCCATTTGCTAACTGCTCATTATGCAGATTTCAGTAGCAAATATCCTACAGCAAGGCCTAGCTGGCTGTTTTATAGCCCTAATGTTGCTGAAGAAGCTGATTATGGTCAAGAGCTGACCTTTCAGAGCTGAAAAATCAGGGGACCACTTGCAAGTCAAGACATACTTTTTACAGCTATTGCAAGAGGATGCTAATTTTGTACTGCAGTCTTTTGATCTACAAGCAGCAAAATTAAGACTGATATTCACTTCCAATAAGAAAAGTGAAAGGCAAAAGACTGCACTCTGGAAAAAAAAAAGGCTTTAAACTGGGATGTTATTAACACTTGCTCACCCACCCCCAGCAAGTCCTACACTATTTTGTTGCTGTGGGATTTTTAGATTGTCCTATCCTCTTTCTTACTGCTATAATAGAAACAAATCACTTTTAACACAGAAATAGCTTCAGGCCTTCCCTAAGATTTATAAAAAAGTAATAATTTTGTTCTCTCTGTACTCAGTAATCTGACCTAATTTAGTCAAAGAGCATCCTCTATCAAATTGCACTACCCATTAAATAGTTAAATTTACCCAAGAGTTACTTTCTAAAACATTTTCAAATGTGTTATTTCATTATAAATTTCTACAAAAAGGCTATCCAAAACAATCCAAAAATGCTGGATAGTTTTTGCAGGAAAGCATTTTTGGCCACACTTCATTTCTTACAATGTAGCCATTTTCAACCCGCTAAATTCTGTAAGATTTCCACATAAAAATGTAATTGTTATAACATTGGACTTATAAAGCTTCTCTTACCACGTTTGCAGATTGGAGGATAAAAGGCATCAGGATAAATGCTTCCAGCCTGAAAAGCATCTTGGTGATTTAGCAGTAACTGGGGAAAGGATGGGGAGGAAAGGAATCACAATGCTATTGCACAGCACAAAACCACATTTTACTGCCAACATCAAAAATACATTCTAAATAGCCAGCAAAATACAACTAGTATCTTGGTAAAATACACCATGTAGTGCACAAAACCTTGCTGTCATTTTGTTGTCCTTAGGTTTATTAAATCTGCTTTCCTAAAATCCTCTACTGATTCTTATAATACAACTGCTCACATAGAATATAACTAAAGAAGATAGGAAAACATGCAAGCAACCACACAAAGTGTATATATATACACATTGGTATAATTGCTATATTTCTGTAATAATATTCAGAAGGAGTCAAATTATTTTGAATAAAAAAAAAGATAAAACATACAGTCTGGGCACAATATTGATAAACACATTACTGAGAATAATAAAGGCAAGAAGACAGAAAGAAAAGCATTCAGAAAAAAGGTGTACAAAATTAAGAAATAATATGCTTCCTACCTGTCTATAATTAACACTCCCTTCATGCTTATGGAAAAATTCCAGAGCTCTATGTGCTGAAAAACAATATATTGAAGTGTTAATTTACAGGTACTGTGTCCAGGCCCACATTTTGGTAGAAGCAGTAGCAGAACCAGAAGACCCTACATTTTCATACCCAAACCAAGCACCAAGCACATGAAACACCATCCCCACAGTCCCACAGAACTGCATACTGGTGAGAAGGTGTGTTTTCTCACACAGGGAGTTAATAAGGAAGTGCTCTTTCTGTGGCACATCTTTCAATCTCTCTAATCCCTAGCTCCCAAGCTGACCAACCAAGCTGAAATCACAGGGAAAAGAACTCCCCAAATCCAGAAATGAGCTACAGCAGTGAACTGACAGGACCACACACAGCACATGTAAAGCATGGACCATAAAGTTTTAACTGTACTGTACTCAAGCTTCACTTTTGCCCTTAACAGTGAAAAAGGTATGTTGGGAATCAATGTGGGTGTTTAACAATTTGATTAATTTTTAACATGCATGAAAAGTAACAAAAATCTAAAGGTAAATCAGCAAGGTAAATAACACTACTTATTCATTGAATTGGCAGATATTTTTACTACCAAAATCTTTATTTAGCTGGCAAAACAAGGGAATGAAATGAAATTACATCCTTTTCTTTAATGAAGTTATCTAATTAATATTAGATCCCAGGAATAATCTATTGACACTATTCTAAAAATACCCAACATTTCCTCTAAAGCTATTTTCAAAGATTAATTAGTTCCTTACCAAATAAATCACATCACTAAAAAGCCCAAAAAACCAAACAACAAAAGAAACAAACAAAAAACTCCCCCTAACAAATCCCAAACAATCCGTTACTATTCTGGAATAAGATCTAGACAAAACTGTGGGGGTTTGAATGATCTTTCACTTTGAATTTTACCCAATAATCTAAATCATCCTTATGCAAGTAAGATACATTAAAGATCAGCCTTGCACCAGAAGAGAAACAGCAACAAAATAGTAAGTAATACCCTAAAATTTTAAGGCTCAGACATTTCTACACACATCTCTGATTCCAGTGTGGGAGAGCCTCAGTTTGTCAGTTTGCTTTTTCTGCCTCACACCTCCTCTGCACTTCTCTCACTACTCAAGTGGGACCAGGTTCTACAACTCCACCTTCACAAGGAATTTTATGCCAGATCCCCACAGTCCCACAGAGCCTCACAAGTCTGACAGGAACCCCTAGGGTGAAGAGCTTCCCCACTCGGACCTTCCTCCAGGCACGGCCATGCAAGTAGGACACAGCACAGCTCTGCCAAGCACACTGAACGCGATCAACATTCTGAACAGGCAGCGCTTTTCACCATTTTAATTCTGTCCAGGATTTCTTTGGTGCTGGCTTTGAGCAAGAGGAATTACTTTCTATGGTTTGTTTGGTATTTTTGTTTGGTTTTGCTTTTTTGTTTTTGTTTGGGTTTTGTTTGTTTGCTTGTTTTTGTTTGCCTGGAGTACTCAGTGTTTGAATTTGGAAATATTTTGGAAATATTTTGCAAATATTTTCATCTTATCATCATAGACTTTTACGTGAGCAACAGTAAGAGCACTCATTTCAGCCGCATCAGAGCTGATCACAGTTTAATGTAATTTTCTGACATGGACAAAACACATTGTAAACTATAACCCAATGATTCAGTGTATGCACAACTCCTCAGACAACCAAGATCGTTATATTATATACAGAAGTTTTCTGCAACATGCTCCCTTGATCAGAAAAGGAAAAAAAAAATACTGTTTTGGGACAGATCTGTAACCTTCTTTTTGTAGATTTTTTTTTTTTTTTCAAACACACTCTATTCTGGCTAATCTGTTATTTCAAGTCCTCAGAAGCTCATACTTGGTAATTAGAGCCCGGAGCTTGCAGAGTTGTGTGCACTTGCCTAACCTCAGGCAGCGTGACTTCTCCTACAGATTATTATGGGTTTCTTGACACATTGTTAGGAAAAGCAAATTGTTCCAGGATGCTGACCATGGATAAAACACTCAGTAAGGGAACACACTCCATTCTCAAACACCATGAATAATCCCAGTCTTTAAATTGTTCAAAGTTGTATGTATTGTATTCAGTACTTAAAGTCTGAGAAAATTACCTGAATAAAGGCAACATCCTAGATTTTACCATCTGTTTGAGCAATGTATTTAGAAACAAAACCAGAAGAACAAACAACTTAAACTGTCAATTATTATGAGTACTCAGAAAAACCTCACACTGCTCATCTTTGTGCTCGCAAAACTGCGGAAGAAACCAGATTTTAAAAATAGCACAGGCAAACAAGAAATCCAAAACAGAAATATTTCTCCATTTTGATGTGCACTCAGTTGTCTCCTTCGTTCTCTACAAATCTAGGCTGTTCTGCCTACAGAGAGCAACCTATCAGAAAGAGACACAGAACAAAATGTTTATGCTATAAGTTACAGACAGAAACACATTACAGAATTTTATCTACTTGTGCAGGTATGGCATAATTAGTACAGAGTGATTTAAAAACAGAGTTACCACAAAGAACTTGTGTTATTCTTTAATTTAAATATAACAATCCCACAATTTTCCTAAAGCATTCCTTTTCCTTCTCCAAACCAAAACTCTGTCTGCGTACGACTCACAGACAAAAACATTCCAGTTACATAATGCCTGTGTCTTAGGAGACGGAAAAATATGCAACACAAATCAATTCAAGCATTTTACTTACAAAACCAGTAAAATTTCAGACTCCAAAATCAAACTGCTCATTTATCCTATCTGTTATTCATATTTTTAAAATTATGTAGGCTGCTTGTTACTTTAACATTATTTCCTCCCTCTGCTTTCCAGATGAATCTGGATTTATCTCTCTTCACAAGAAATTCAAAACACAAGAAAATCCATTTTGAACATGTCTTACCTATTTCAACATGTGTTGAAATTCCACATGGGATACATCTCTGACAGAAATGGTAGAGTATAACCAGCGAGACAGACCAAATCTTCAGACCAACCATGATGCTGGCTCCAACTGTGGTTTTCAGAAGCCTGGAGCAGTAGCACTGTGACCTTTGAAATGTAGGTTACGGAGCATGCCTTTTCTTTCACACATATTGCTGACACAGCAAGCAGACGACTGCCAGATTTGAAAGGCTATTTTATACCAGTGCTTTCTTTTACTGCAAATAAAGTGATTTATATAAAGAAAGAAATAAACTGTGGGTATTCTCCCCACCTGAATTCTGTAACATCTCTGGGATTTGAGCAGTGTAATCAGTGCATCACTGCACAGGAGCGGTGAGATTTCTGTTAAATCCAACAGCATGGCAGAGAGTATCGTCTCATAGTTTGTCCAGCTCATGGTGTGCTTGCCTTACAGCTACTACATGCCATTTCACAAAAGAAATTAAAGCCAATTGCCAAACCAGTATTAATAGAAAAACACTAGCTCCTGAGTTGCAGATGATCCAAATTCATAACTTATGGTGAGCTGACAGGATATTGCACACATAAGTCTGGGTCTAATGGTCAGTATTGAAAGCCCAGTTGATATGTGGGAGACTCATGGAAGTACTCCTGCCAACTGTACTGCTACGAACTTCTGGCTGCAGAGGTTGGACACCCTGTGTTTCCCAACCACACTAGTCCCCAGCGAGATGGTGGCACTGGGCAGGGGCTTCACGTGGCCCTTGTGCCACAGGCTGACCAGCTGTCATGGGACCCAGCGGCCCACAGGCTCCCATGGGCCACTGTTCCTGCAGCTAAGCACAAGTTAGCCTGGAGAAGACTGAGAGCCCTGAGACCTTATCACAACCTGCAACTTCCTGACCAAGGGAAGAGGAGGGGCAGATACTGATCTCTTCTCTGCGGCGATCAGTGACAGGGCACGACAGAATGGCATGAAGCTGTATCAATAGTGGTTTCAGTTGGGTATTGGGGGAAGGTTCCTCAGCCAGAGGGTGCTTTGGCACTGGAACAGGCTCCCCAAGGAAGTGGTCAGACCACCACGCCTGACAGAGTTCAAGAAGCATTTGGACAACGCCCTCAGCCACCAGATGTGACACCCGGCGTGCGCTGTGCAGGGCCAGGAGTTGGACTTGGATGATCCCTGTGCACAGGATACTCTGTGACTCCAGGCCTCCCCTCTCCCTACGAAGCGGGGGTCTCGATGGGGGCGGGACACGAGGCTCCGGGAAGCAGAAGCCCCCTCCCGCCCCCAGCCCCCCGGCTACACTCCCACCCTCGCCCGGGCAGACTGGGCGCCCCTGGCCAGCTGCCACCCGCCGCCGTGCCCCGGCGAGACGCCGCTTCTGGCCCAGCCCCTCGGCAGCTCCTCCTCCGGGCGGCGCGGGCGGGCCGTGCCGGGACTGTGTTCGCCCCGGGGCCGGCGCGGGCCGCCAGCCGGGCCCTGTCCGCCGCCCTGGTGCGCCGGGGCGGCCTGGTGGGCGGCCGATGGGTGGAGACGGCCGCCGCTTTCCCCGTGCAGGACCCGGCCAGCGGCGAGGAGCTGGGCCAGGTGTCCGACTGCGGGGCGGCCGAGGCGCGGGCGGCTGTGCGGGCCGCGCACGAAGCCGGCGTCGCCTGGGGCCGCCTCCCCGCCAAGGTGAGCGGCCGCGGGAGGTGGCGGCGAGGGGGCCCCGGGGCCGTCCCGTCCGCTCCGGTCGGGTCTCCCGGGGCCTCGCTTCCCCGTCCCTGCGTGCGGCGGCCGCGGCAGCCTTGTCTTTCCCTCCTCCCAGGAGAGGAGCGCGCGCCTCCGCAGATGGTACGAGCTGATGATGGAGAACAAGGAGGAGCTGGCGCGGATCATCACAGCCGAGAACGTGAGTGGGGCAGCGGGCGTGGGCACGGGCACTGCCCCGTGCTGGCACTCGCGCTGGGAAACCCAACACAGGCAGGCAAACAGGGACACCAAGTAAAAGTGACAGCCGTCAAACCTCTCCCTGCGTGCTTCAGCGGTTAGCCGTCATGTCCTTTTTAATAATTTCGGGCATATTGTGCACTCCCATTGCTGTGCTACGTCAGTGGGTGACGTTTCAAACATTTCTCCTCCGGACATACATAAAGTGCATTGGTTTGATAAGGGTAGTACCTGATCAGAGGAAACCAGACCCATGTTGTTCTTCATGGCATGCAAAAGTGTACATCCACCTACACCATGGTCCCCGTGGCAGAAATGTTTGTGACTGGGAAAAATCAAGCAAGTCTCCAAGTTGGATTAATACAGTCTGTATCACTGAGTAGTCTGGGAGCTCACAAACTGGTGACCTTTTGGACAAAACCTTGCTGGAAGATACTTCAGCAGATCCTCTGTTGTGGAGGATAACCTGACATAAACCTGGCATAAACTTGTAACTGTTTTGACATGATTTGTGTCTTTCTTCAGAGTGGTAATAGCAGCTAACTTAGAGTTTGTAAATAAATGCATACTACATTTGCTATTTCTCTTCCTTGTCTTGGGCAGGTGTGAATCCAGGCACAGCATACAGATTATTGACTATACAATGATGGTATATTGAATCCACACAACTATTGCTGCTGCAATCATATAATCTTTGCTGGAAATCACAGTGTATGTCAGAGGGAGGGGCTCATAAAGTACTCTGAAAAGAAGAGAAACTCCAAAATTGCTTGAATTTGTTTGTATTGCTTCTGTTTGCTGCTTACAATGTATCTTCAATCTGATTTAATCAAAGGGGAAGCCTCTGAAAGAAGCACAGGGTGAAATCACATATTCAGCCTCGTTTCTGGAGTGGTTTGCGGAGGAGGCTCGGCGGATTTATGGTGATGTTATTCCAGCATCTGCAAAGGACAGAAGAGTCCTGGTGCTGAAGCAGCCAGTAGGAGTGGCAGCCATTATAACCCCAGTAAGCATAGCTGAACTCTTCTGAGTCACGTGAAGGTTTTCAGCTCAGCCCCCCGTTCAAAATGTCACTTACTTCTGCAGAAACAGGAGGCAAAATTTTCCCAACTTTGATTGTACTATTTTCTCTCTTCCTAGTGGAATTTTCCCAGCGCTATGATTACCCGGAAGGTTGGTGCAGCTCTGGCAGCTGGCTGTACAGTAGTGGTGAAACCTGCAGAGGACACACCTTTATCAGCATTAGCTCTTGGGGAGGTGAGCTTTCAGTACTAAGATTTACCTCAACAACGGACTGATACGGTAAACAGGGAATCCAGACAGGCTTAGAAGGTAGCTCTGGCCAGCTTCATATGTAAAGAAAGGACAAACTGATTTGATGCAGGCAGGTGTTTTAGTTTAGTGAGAATCTTTGCAAATTGCCTCTAATATGGTCTAGAGCCTCAAAGTGGATTGGGCCATTTTGATACTCAAAATATCCTTATATCTTTAATTTGGTTCTTTTGAACACAGACAGAGCAAAGCTGCTCTCTCAAGCAACTGTTCCTGGTTGTGCTGAGTCCTTTTGGCTTCCACTGGCTTACAGACTGTTTTCTTCAAAACAATGAACAATCATTAAGTGACTATTCCTCTTACAAAATGCACTAATTATGCAAATTCTGTTTTTCTTTTGTTACAGCTTGCAAACCAGGCTGGAATCCCAGCAGGAGTGTATAATGTTGTCCCTTGTTCCAGACAACAGACAGCAGCTGTAGGGGAAGTTCTATGCACTGATCCATTGGTATCCAAAATATCTTTTACTGGCTCTACAGCAACAGGAAAGGTACATACGTGGACAGAATATCCTTGAAGATTGTTACTGTGATTATACTAGAAAGGTAGGGGGAAAGTGTGTGCCTTTATAGAGAGCCTTCTTTCCTGGCTGCTGTAGACAGATTGTCCAAATAATTGTGTAACTCTTGAGATACTGCTTATATGTTTTAGCATCAGTACTTCACAGAATGATGCCTGTCTGTAATTCTTGATAACTGCCCTTTATTAAACTATAATGTGAACAGTCCTGTACACTATGTTCTTGGTCTATATCATAAGGTGACAACACACTAATAAGAACACTGAAACTGAGTTTGAAAGGTGCCATTCAAGAATGGCTTCAGCAGTTGAGAGAAAGTATTAGAGGAGTGAGGCCCTGGAATCTCTGCTATCAGCCGTAGTCAATAAGCAATCTTGTCACCATTTCTAATTGAATCACTAAAACTGCAGTGTGGCTGCAAAATGACAGTTCTCTAGGATGGCTGTATGCAGAATGCAGCAAAAGTCTGGTATCAAGGCAAATCATAATACCACATTCTGTCAGATCCTGGAAAACTTTCATAAGAGTAGCCAAGATTTTATTACCACAAAAAATAGAACAACAAAAAAAAGTTGACAATATTAGTGTATAAAAGCTTAACCTGACCTGAAGTTCATCAAAATTTTTCTCTGCATTAGTCCTTGGCCAGAATTTCATCTTTAAGGATTTTCATGGATGAAAGTTGCTTTTGTTTTAGGAGATGCAGATTATTTCCTTGCCAGAGTTAATTTTTCACTCCCTTGCATCCATGATTCCACTGTTCACATCTCTTAGAGGTACAGATGTGTGTGTCTCTTCTTTTGCCTACAGATCTTGCTGAAACACGCAGCTGGTACTGTGAAGAGAGTTTCCATGGAGCTTGGAGGACATGCTCCTTTTATTGTGTTTGACAGTGCCAATGTGGACCGGGCTGTCGCAGGAGCCCTGGCTTCTAAGTATAGAAACTCAGGACAGGTGAGAAATTTTGTCCTTGTTTCTAGACAGTGAAGAGCTGTACATAATGTTTAAGCTATAAATAAGCTATTTTATGTAAAAGGAAAGCATAGAACACTTCATTGTAAAGAGAAAGGCGCTGCACTCACAAATTGCTCTGGGCACTAAAGCAAGTCTAAATAGCAACACTGAAATCCCATATATTTTTATCAGAGCAAAGGGGTAGCACAAATAAATAGACCATTGAAAGCACTTAGAAACAACTTTTAGGAAGAAAGGAAACTCAAACTCAGATAATTAAGGAGTTAGAAAAAAAGACCCCTGACCACTAAATGTGACTTGAGTTTTTGATGCTCAGTCCAGCATTCTGCAGTCTAATTAGAAGGTATTTCA